CGGCCACGTCCCCCATCCCGAACACTGTGCACCAACTGGACGAGGCGAAATTACCGCAGCTGCGCAGTGAAGGACCTCGTCTAACTTCCAAGTTGGAACCCCAAACGATTCAGGGCGGAGTCATCGTGGCATTGGCGGGCACCTTTCTACACCGATTGTCGGGATTTAGGTGCACATACATATACATATGCATATACTGACTGGGATTTCCCCCCCTTTATCTCTCATTTTCCGCAACCCCAAACCACTTTTCCGCTCGGTTGTGGAGTCGAGGGAAACTTGAAGGAGGCCAGCGCCCAGTCCATCAGCGGCAATCCGTTAAATATTTTAATGGCTAACAAAAGCATTTTTCGCAACGAATTTACGATGATTCAAGGCAAATATTTACTCGAGTTCTGGCCTTTAAATGTTTATTCTTTATTCTTGCAGTTTGAAGGCGAACGAGAAAAATTAATAACTCTCTCTGGAACCTAAATTCTTTAATAAAATATGTAATAATGCCCAAAAAATGTTTCGAAAAATCTATAAAAATGCTATTTTACTCATAATATTAGCTAAAAGTGAATGTAAAGACTGAAAGTAGGAACCAGAAATGCCTTTGTACTGTCTATTAAACACAATTTTACTATTAAATTCGTCTTTTTCAGTTAACTTTCTTTTCAGTAACTCAGATTTTTATTATTCTCAAATTCCAGACTCCACATTGTGAAGTAAAAAATAAATAAAGTCAAACCTAACTTTAAAGATACCAAACTAGTATTAAAAAGTCTAGATGACTTTTGAAGAATTTTTATAAGTTCCAAAAACCGAAGCCTTAACCAACTTATTCACTCCTTTTTTTCAGAATTTCTTCATAATTCTCCGCATTATTATTTAAAAAATATTTTACATTAAGTAAATGCGGGAAAATTTTAAATATCCTATGTAAGTTTTTAAAACTTGACTTAACTAAATACGAGTATAAAGTCACATAAAAATCTCATCAAATTATAAAGTATTATATATTTAATATATAGATTACAGCCTAAGTCAAAGGCCACAGCAGCCAGTGCTTTGTAATCAACTATTGGGTTTACTATTCTATGCTAAGCTTAATTTGTTAAAATAAACAAATAAAGAAAATCTTAGTTTTATAACTTCAAAAAAAGAAACTTAATTTGAGACCTTTAGGAATCATAATCATTATGGGAAACATTTTCCATATTAATTCTAGGTCATAATTTTGTAAAAATAAATCCACATCTCGTATTTTATATTAGGATTGCAGCCTAAGTGGAAGGTCACCGCAGCCAGTGCTCTGTAATCAACTATTTGGTTTACCATTTCACACTAGGCTTAATTTGTTAAAATAAACAAAAAAGGAAATCTTAGTTTTATAACTTCAAAAAAAGAGAGTTAATTTGAGACCTTAAGGAAACCTTCAAAAACCTTTTCGATATTAATTCCAAGTCAAAATTTTGTAAAAAGTAGTAAATTTATGAAGTTGAAGAACAACTTTGTTGCTTTCAAAAAGAGATGCAAAGAACGAATTTCTATGACATACAATCCAAAATTAAGTCATTTAAAATAAAGAAAAGCTATTGCTAAGACAAAACATTCCCTTAACTGTTATAACCAAGTTAACTTTCGCTTAGCCACCAAAAATGTCTTTTGTAGTTCCTATTTCCAAGCCAAGATAAGTCCACGAAGACATAACCATTTCGGGTTTTGTAATGTCTAAAGGGGAAACTTTCAACTGGGAGGACTCAACGTTTATTGGCCCTGCCAAGTGCTGGTCCATTCCTTTTTACGATTGTCATTCCAGCGTTGTGAATGTGGCTCACATATGCTCCCCTGATTGTGGGTAATTGTCATGTAATAAAACCAAGAATCATGCTCTCTTTCTCTTTGTATCTATACTTGGGCTTAGTGGATGGTGATGATATCAGCCCAAGAATGCCACCCTCAAAACTGATGTGATCCACTATTTGAGTCAGCAAAATTTTTCAAAAAAAAAAAGGATATTCCTAGGAATGGGTATGCGAACGAATGCCCCTGCTTATCTACTCATTCTACCACCTGTGTGTAATTATTGCAGACCTTTTGGCCACTCGTAAATTATATGTGATCCCTATAGCTAATAGGTAATTTATGTCCTGACCGCAAAACAAACCAAACAGAAAAAAAAGGATAAACTTTGCCGGCAAAAAAGTAAAACAAATGTCCACGGATTTTGGTGTCCATTAGCCTCTGGTTAGGAAGGGGTTCGGACATGTCTTGGGCTCTGGTCACCATTGGTCACAACTGGTCACCACTGGTGTAAAAAGATACACACTACCCATGTCAGGTTTGGGGTTTTTTTTGGGCAATCTAATTACAAAGGCCTTGGGCCAAAAGGATATCCTTTTTACACCCACACTTCTTGTGATATAGACATATATCTCGACTGCAACTTTAAGGACACTTTAAATAATCCATTAGCCATGCCTGCACATCACCCACCCAACGAGAGAGAGAGAGAGTAAGGGACTTAAAAGCTAAAACCTGTTGAGTTACATCTCAATTCCCCGAACACTTGGCTAACTAAAAAGCCGCCCCTTCCTAAACCCTTTTCTGAGCTTTCCCCCCTTTGCAAATTCACTTTGTCTATACGTCTTGGCACAGATTATGGCTGCTTTGAATAACAATCGATGGCGCGACATTGATGGAGGATGGCTTCCATTGTCTGGCTCCTAGTGCTAGTCCTTTGGCATTTTATTACCGTCTGGAGTGGCTGCATTTCTTCTGGTTTTCCTTTGGTTTTCCCCCTTGGCTTTTTCTTCTTTTCTTCTGTTCAAAAGCTATAAATGGTTTTTGTCATTTCCTCTATCAATGGCCAAGTGAATTTTTACGATGGGCAATATGAAATGCCAAACAGATCTGAGATTTAGCCAATCGCTGACCCCTTTAGCCACGGCGTATCATTAACATAATCATCATCACCAACAGCTATGAGGATTTGTTCTAGCTTGATTAATGAAGTTATTCAATCGAATCGAAGCGAAGCAGACTGGGTCAATGAATTCTCATTAAACTCATTTTCGATGTGCATATTAATGAGCCAAACGCGATAAACGCACACACACGCTCTCAGGTGACATAATCAACCAGCTAGATATTAACTTATTATCCATGTTCGTAAATCAATTTGAAAAAGTAATCTCTGGTACTCGTTCACAACTTCAATTATAAGACTATGATCCGTATCAAAATTATGACCTTGTTCAGAGCATTAAGTTCAAGATCTCTAATTTCATTGAGCTTTATTTTCCTGCTCTCAAATCCCAGCTTAAGTCGCTTGTCAAGTTCCGAAAACCAAAAAACCAGAAACCTCAACTAGGAACAGAACAGCGCATTGAGTCATCCATCGGCTTCATGACTTCTATGTACTTATATCTCTCTCCATCTGAATACTCAAACAATTGTATTATAATCGCTGTTTTTTTTGCTATTAAACTTTATTTTATTTTTATTTCTGCGCATTCGTTTGTGCACACGCCGAATGGCCAACAATGTGCAGTGTCTGAGACTTTGACAATTATCATAAATAATTTCATTACAATAATTAGTAATGCACGCCTAATGATGTTCGGAGAAAATAGGAGGGTTTATATACCTTTTTTGAATGTTCTTTAAAGGTGAAAATATTTAAAAGTAAGAAATGCAAATTGGAGTTAGAAGAAAAAAGTATTGAAAAGATTTATTGATAGATTTAATTTGAATAATTTATTTATATAAGTCTTTGGGATTATAAAGAAGATTTTTAAGTTGTTGTTTTTATTATTAAAATATCTTAAATTGATATATGATTTATGTGATTTATATTATACCATCTATACTTTATTTATACAGGGTGGGCCATTTAAAGTTGACCCACTTGATTCTTAAAACAAAAACAAAAAAGTGGACAACTTTTTGGTCGTAAAGTGGCTGTTCTTCGATTAATTGAGGATTTTCGGTGGCATAAAATCGACAATTTTGCTTATTTACGCCTCCATTCATCAAGAAATGTGCCTCGTCTGACATGATGATTTTTCGCCAAAAGTCAAATTCGTTTTCTGAACAATTTGAGCGCGTTCCTTTGGAGAGTATTGTTCCATGGTATCAATTGTCTTCGACTGACGCTTCCAACGTGGTATGACATTTGACGATCTGTCGACGCTGTTAAAAGTTACAGGGTTGCCAAATGGGTCAAATTTAAATGGACCACCCTGTATATATATTTATAGATATTTTACATGTTATTGTGATAGTCTTTACTACTACGACTTCTTAAAGTTAAGCTTATATAGTTAAAACTTTCATATGAGTGATATATGTAGAACATTTTTATCATTCATAAAGTACTTAATTTCTGTGTTTATATACAGTTATCGGGGCTATAGTTAGTCTTTAAATACATAAACCCATTAGATATAAATCTAATATGAGTGATAAACAAGCATATTCCTAAAAATATCTCTTCTTGGTAGTTGATTTACCTCTTATTAATAGCCACCACATCATACCCAATACCAAGCAGTACCAAAAAACAAACCTTTTACCATATTTATGATACCCAAATCCCCCTAATTTGTTTATTAGTGATGGATAAAAATACCTTTCAATCACAACAAAACAAAACAATGCACAAAACAATCACCATCATCGAAGGGAGAGGAGTAAACGTCGAGGTGATCAGCCGCAAAACAAATTAATCAGCGAGGTAATCAGTGAATCAAAGTTATGGCCAGACTTTGCCCCACTGTGCAGATAAAATTGGGGATTTTTACGGGATGGAGGGAACCAAAGCGCCAAAAAAATGACAAAAGACGAAACAAAACTAACAAATTTTTTGGCTCATTATTTGTTCTGGCTCCTCCGTTAAAAAAAAAGCGCCAACCACAAAAAAATATACCAAACACTTCATTATAAACAGATCGCGTTGAGGTGGGGAGGGGGAACCCAGAGGGGGTATTTGATGCGGGATCTCCAGCTCAAAAGCTTACAGCGATCGCTGGGCTCTGGGTGTTTCAGTCGTCAAACGGCAGCATCCAACATCAGTCGCTAGTTGCGGAATCCACAGAAGTCAAAGAGTCAGCGGATATATTGCTCACCTGGCTGATCTTACAAGATGTTCAACAATCATCGGCTTATGGTAATTGTGATTGATCGCCCACGGCGGAGGCCATAAAAGTATTTAAGTAACTAATGGCTTATACATGTTTGTAGTTAGCCAAATTGCGATTGTCATCTTGGCTGTGAAAATTAACTATTTTAAATAATTGTTACTTAAAAACCAATCTTTTGAACTTAAATCTTAGTTAAGGACTTGTTTTAAATATTTTATTAAATTCTGAAAAATAATTTGTAAATCTAAAGAAACTACTGTGAGAAATATGTGATTAAATAAGCAATAATTATAATTAATTTACGTTAAAGTCATTTTCTTCTTATTACCAAAAAAGGGTTTTCCTTTTATGATAAAATTCATATTTACATTTTTTCGTAAAGAAAATTTACTGAATTTATTTAGGAAAAACATAAATCCAGTTTAATTTTTAATAAAACCAACTACTAGACCCTTTAAATAACTTTTAAATAAAAATCTGATAATTTTCTCTAACCATTTCTAATCTTCTAGCTTTTCTGTCTCTGCTTGGGAGCACTCCTAAGCCTATCCCTGGCCATCGAAGAAACCTCGGACATCGAAGAAGATGTGATCAGCATAGCCAATCAAACGCAGAAGGTTATCCGGGTACACCCACAGGATCTGCCACCCAAAAAGGACAACACCGGCAATCAAATGAACTCGGCCTTCTTCCAAATCCAAACCCTGCGACCTGCAACAGGATCAGGATCAGGATCGGGATCTGGAAACGGACCCCGTCAATATGTGGACTCCAAACAGATGCGGAAGAGGCGCCCTCGTCCCGCCAAGCTGCTAGGTGGAAATGTGGCCGCCAGTGGTGAAGATGCGACGCAGCCAGCCTTGAAATACGAACTAAAAGCCTTTCCCAAGCAGAAACTCAAGCAGCAGAAGCAGCTAAACTTGGACGCTAAGTCGGCTGGAGAGTTGTCGTTGTCCGCTGGATTGGAGGTGGAGGCCCAAGGTCAAGTATTACCCGTTCAGATGACACCGGGCCCCTATCCCATCTACTATGTGGTGTCCAAGACCAACGGACGCTTTGGCAAGTTTCCCATCAAGTCGTTTCGTTCGCCCTCGGAGTTCGCCAAGTATCTGATAAAAAGCAAGGCGGAGCCCATTGCCCGGGACCAGAGATTCGAAGTGATCTTGTGATCTTCTCTTCTACGTAACTTAGTCAAAGTAAATGCCTAAATTATTACCCCCTAATCGTAGTCGTAACTATTTTTTATTATAAATGCTAATTGCCGCAATAAACCCATGTCTAAATTTAGCAAAACAAAACAAAAACAAAACAAAAGCAAATCCGTTTGAGTCATAGCTTAAAAATTCTTTCACTTAATAGTTTTGGGTTTTCTGCGCTCTGGTAATTACATGGCATCTATCTTAATCTGGCTGACTCCATCCCCGGAGTTTGGCTAACTGTTTTGCTAGCTGTTAACTGGCCTTGTCATATGCTAATTTGCTAGCGAATCGAATCGAGTGTCGCGTATAATTAAGGCCCGCATACTCATAACTATTGTCTGGCATTTACATACAGCAACAATGGATATATACATAGATATATAGATAGATAGATAGATAGATAGATAGTTATATAGCTACGTAGAAACATTTTGATTTATGGCATTCCCCATTCGGCTGCTTTCTTGCGAATATCTTTCCAAGTGTCGTTTGCCTTTTGTCTCTCTTCTGGTTTCCTTTGTCTAGCTTTAGCGCGATTCTTTGGCTGCTTTCTTTGCAAAACTTAAGAACTTTCTCCCGCCCATACTCATATGTATGGAATTTGATTTGTTTTTAAAAATATGTTAAGTTTTCAAGAAAAGAAACGTTCTTAAGTTCACAGTGGTTTATGTTTTATCTGTTAACCAAAAGAGAACAAGAACTCTATACTCTGATAATCTGGATATTAATTTCCATTCGATCAATTAAATTGTTAATAATTCAGCTCACATAATTATAATCAGCAGATTACCACAGAATCATCCATCTGCAATCAGGAAAACTGTCAGATACTTTTCGCTCGACTCCGCAAAATCAAAACCAAATGAAGAAAATAATAATTGCAATTTTTATGGCCACCCACACATGTATGTAAGAGGGTTGTACAGCTCTAAGTCTGGTTAATCAACCTGCTGGTAGACCCCCAAACCAAAAAGGAAAAATGAACCCACCCACTGCATTTCCCATTACTTTTGCTCATTTTGACTCCGGCGAATGTGTAATGAACTTGTGGGCATGACGAGAACGCTGGCTGGAACAAAGTGTGATATCGAAATTTCCCAAAGGATTCAACGCCATATTTTTGCCAGCCACGAAAAAGATTCCTTCCTTGCAGGACTCTCACACTCCTTGCCAAGACCCCCCCAACGAATGTGTGTGTTTGTGCGTGTTAAATAAAGGGCAAGGAAAGAAAAAAAGATGGAAAAACCCCCAAAAAGAAAATCTTTCTAGCAACTAGCTGAGGCTGAACTTCAGCAAGACTCGTATAATCAAGCGTAAAAATGCGAAATTAATCAACTTCAGAGACGACTTCTCAAGTTAACAACGCGCAAGGAATTGAATTAAAACTTTTTGCCCCCCCAAGTTACCTCTTTTTCCCGAGAAAAACTGCTCCCTGCGAACTCGGGTTTATTCAATTATGTATTTGCGCTTGTCCTGCAGTAAAAATTACAATCCACGGGACAAGTCAACAGAATTATGAACACGCCTGGCCAGTAAAAAAGTAAATAAAAATCCAACTCCGCGGAAAAGAAACGAACACAAAAAAAACGTTCTATATATATTTTTCAAACTTTTCTCGGCGACAGAAGAGGATTTTTTTTTTTTTTGTGTTACCTTTTTTTTTTTGTTTTTGGGTGAGTTTCTTTTCTGCGGTAATTGCAACGTCTCGCTGTCCTGGGGGAAATGTGAAACAATAAATGAAAATAAATGAATTTTTGTTAGCCCAATGGCCAGCAAACCACGGCCAATAGCCGTCGGGCAGAAGGAACATAAAAAATTTCATTAATTTCCAGCTTGCCGACTAACCGCCAACCGCCAACTTGATAACTTAACTTCATTTTCGGCCGTAACGTTTGCCTTTGCCGAATGACATTTGACAGCCCTCCTTCGAGAAGTTCCAACTGAATCAAGGATCCAAGGGCTATGGTACAAGGACTAAGGACGATTGCCAGTCGAAAGCCATTTGATCAAAAATTAATGTGTAGTTTGGTACTTTCTGTCACATTATACGCGTGTCAGACGGTTTAAAGGGTTACAAATTGGGCAGCCAAAGATAACACAGTCAGGTGCCGAGGGGTGGAAATACTCAAGGAAAAGCTGGGGAACAGTGGTTCGGCATGTAAGGAAATAGGGATTAGTTTTATACAAATTTTTTCCATTTTCTGAAGGTATTTAGTCTTAAGAGATCAAACTAAATGGCTATCAAAGGCTAGTTCTTAGTCCTGATTTTGGTATAAAGATTATAAAATTAAAGTCACTCCAAAGATAGTTTAAGATTTTAATCTTTTTTTGCCAAAAAAAGGACCGAGTTACTATCTGAATGTACTTAAAAACCATTCATATTTTCATCTCTTTTCAACCACTGTGCACTAGCCCGCATAGGCATCGGCATGCCAAGTTTTTCGCCATAAAAAACACTGCCCTCATGTCCTCGAGACGTTGTTACTGACAGCCACGTGAACTGCAGGAAGGACCTGAAATACAAACTTTGCGACAGGACCACCAAAAAAAAAAATTTGAAAAAAAAAAGGTGACCCCAAGCAGGCCAGGATCTGTCAGAGGAGGACCAAAGGAACAGGTCGGCCGAGAACGACGCTGCTTAAATATTAATGCCCCGGGAGTCGGTGGGGCAGACCATGAATAAATTTTTGGCTATGAATTTTCAATAGCCTGTCCTTCCTTCCCTTAAACTACGCTTGTAATTCGTTCGCTTGACTTTAAGAGTGTCAACCAACACTCGCAGGTGACTTTGCTGGGTGTCATTAGGTGTCAGGTGAGTCACCGCAGTACCAGAAAATCGAACCGCAAAAGGGTCAGCGGAATTGAATTCATTTCGATTTTCACTTCCGCTTCCTGTTCGAAGTGCAGGGGGGGGTGACCCCGTTTTTCGAACTCCCAATGCGTGGGAACTTTACGAGCCTGTCGAGCTAGCAAAGGGGGCAAAAAAGGTGCAAGTGGGAGTGGGCACGTGCGTATGGTGCCAATTGCCAAATGACCGCAAAAGCTCAGAGGTCGAGTGCCAGGCCATAGATGGGCCAATAAATGCTGTTCAATGCTGCACGGAGAACAATAGGATACTAGAAAAAAGCTAAATTAAAAACCAACAAAATGTTAAAACTTGAAAAGTTAACCCATTAACATACTTGTTACTTACATCCTCTCAGTTTCGTTTTATTTAAGAATTTAGTTACATATTTTTCTCTCTGTAAGCTTGGATCCCTAATCAAAAAGCAAATTCCTTGCGGAAGTACTCCTCCACACCCAGCATCCACATCCACCAGCCATCACGAACTCCAACTGACATTGTCCACTGATTTTATTTGCTCATCCGAAGCACTTTATGAAGCTTTTATTTGATTTTTATGCCAGCCGCTATTTCCATTTCTGTAATTGAATTGTCATTGTGCGGACAGAGCCATGCAGCTAACCACTGACTACTGGTTGGTCCTCATTCAGGCCCTCGTCCTTGTGGTTCTGGTTGGTCAGCCTTGGCGCCCGGCTACCCGTTCGATATGTCCGGACATGTCAAAAACGGTTTTGCGCTTGATTGGCGCTTGGACCCCCGGATAAACACCCAACGGTATAGAAAAGTGACGGACGTAGGACAAAAGGACACAGGACATGGCACGTCCTGAAAAAGAAAAGCCAAAAAAAAAAAGGGTTGCGGTCACAAAGTTCCGCCCCAAGGCCATGGAATTGGTATAAAAATTGCCAGTTAGAAGTGTCCATTCATTGGCAAATTGCCGCAATTGATGTGGGTGTGGGTGGAAAACTTACGGGTTGGGTGATGCTCTGATGGGTGATGTGCCAAAATCTCGCCACAGGAAAATGAGCAAATAAAAGTGTCACAGGGAGTAAAAGTAATTTCAAGTTTTTCCTTTGGTCAGGGAAAGTGGTGTTTCCCTACGTAGAAAAACTTGTGGTTGCTAGCCAACTTGCTGAGGTTGCATCTATAAAATGTTGCATAACAGGTAGATAAAGCTTTGCTGAGATTTGTTCGTAAACGTAGTACTGAAGTAAAAAGTATACTTTTTATCTCTAGTTAAAGGTTTTTCAAGAATGATTCTTAACTTAGTTTCTCAACCTTAGCTTTTTTAATCAAAAAACTAAATGTTAACTTTCCTTGGAATAATAAAGTAAGTTGAAATATTTTATGTTTTTATTACATTTTTCATTCTTGGTGTTAAAAACAAATGCAATTAAATGACAAAGATCTAAAATAGCGTTTCAGAACCAATAATCTACTTTAAACTGCCATCAAACATAAGGACCAACATAAATCTTAAAAAATAAAAGGATTGTACTTACATGCGAAACACAATGAAGTTGTCTTTTTGTTAAATTATAATATATAAGATACACCCTATGAAATGCTATTCATATTTAAATGAAACTCCTTCTTTAGCTTTCACCTCATATATCATTTTGAATGTCCTTAAAAACACCCACTCCGAGGGACACCTTACACCTGCTCAAAAATGCAAACTCGCTTTTGCACATTCTTCGATGCCCATTTCGAGGACAATTTGAGCAGTTTTCATATTTAAAATTCCCAAAATGGTGCTACGTGAGATAATAATCGTTACATTTAATGGGATACCAACTCCTGCCTCCCCTGAAAGATATATATATATATATATATTTTTCGCAATTCAGATACTTTCAACACCGAACCATTTTCGAAGTACTTGCAATGCCAGAAGGAGATAAATTTTAAGGTAAAGGGTTTTCTTGTGTTGAGTTGGCAAGAAGTGAAGTTGGCAACAACCCCGGGGTCTCGACATCGTTAAACTTCCGCCGGATGTGCCATTAGCTGGGGTGATTCCAGGGGCAATCGGCAAACATAATGGCATAATCGAATGATAATTTAATAAGGGCCAAACGGTGACGTCAACATTTGAATTGTGGCCGTTTAATTGAATCCTCGCCGTTTTGCTCCATTTCCTGCTATCAAACTGCTCCTCGAAGATGAAGTTTGCAAATGCCAGAGATGGAGTCAAATGGATTGGATTGTGTTATTCATATCGATGTGTGTGCATAATCAGAATGAATGTTCACTTGGGGAATTGCTGAGTTGTGGTCTAAGGAGAGAGAGAGAGAGAGAGGGACTAGTCCTTGCCTCTTAACCAATTCGTTCTGACAACGAATATCCTCGTGTTTTTCTCTCAGGTTTTCCCCTGTTCTGTGTCCAACACAATTCAATTTGCATGCACTCATGAATAATGCAATCAGCCAAACATCCAAATAATTCTAATGGACTTTGGCTAAAATATTCATAAAACAACATCAATGAAACCAAAAGAATGCAATACAAAGTACTGGATTTTATGAAGGCCAAAAAATGCTGCAGAAAGGGAGCAAAATGCTTAACAATTCAATAAGGGATTAGATAATGTTGGGTGAAGTTTTCACAAAACCAAAAATTACGCCTTGCAAAAGAATGCCTAATCAAGCGAGGACTTTAAATTACAAAGAGCTTTTAGGTATCGGAGTTTATGTAAATATTAGCCCAACATAATTTAAGAAACAAGAAGGAAAACTCCTGTCAACTGCGGCTTGTCCTTAATGTCTTGGCAAACACACAAGTATCGTATCCAAATAGGCGGTTGGCTTGTGGCTAGCCAGGAAATTGGCCAACTCTGACCTGCCAAGGACAAGGATCCCTCGTCCTGCGTATTAAAAATAATATGCAAAGTGCGGGGACCTGTTGAGATTTTCACAATTCCCAGAACAAATAACATATTCACATATTGTTGTGAAAACCCGTCGTGCTACCTCCTCCCTCCTCACTTTTCCGGCTGTCTGTCTGCGTCCCCTTAGTCCTTTCTTCTTGGGTTCGGCTATGTGGGTTTTTTTTGGCTGGCTTTTTCCTTTTGTTTTTTTGGGGGCGGGCGGTCCGCTTATGATTTATCATCGCTGAAGCCAAAAGTTATATCTTCAAGATTAAAACAAGGCGTTGGGGGGGCTTTTTAACTGACACGCCCCACCAACACATCCCCTATTCGCTCTTTCACATTTACCTAATGTGACAACTTTAATTTTCCTTGAGCCATCTCAGAAATTCCGTTAAGTGGCTTTCATATTTAACATTTTGATGGGGAATTATTGGGAATGGGAATTGGGGAAGCTAAGAAAGTTTTCCGCTGCAAATTCTAGTTTTGCCAATTCAAACAGAAAGTTCTCCTTCTCTCGGTTTTCTAATCCCATTTGGATTGTGTGTATGTGCTCACGGAAGTTTCTGGGTTGGCAAAGTAACTTCTATGCCCCGCGTCCACGGAACTAAATAAATTAGCCAAAGGCCAATGGCAGACTACAAGAACTTCCCACACCGAGATTCAAGAACTGCCGCAGACCGCAAAACCGCACACATTATTAATAATATTTATGATTGAGTGACTGGGCGGTGGCTTCCAAAGGCAGGGAAACTCTGGATGTTGGTGGTGGTGCTCATATCAAGACAGATGACCAAACACTGTGTAAATTAAAGGTTATTACAAATAGAACTTGGCCAGGTCTAAATATTTAATTTTAATGAACAAGTTTAGCAGAAGCCTGGGGGTTAGCTGACTAGGTTTGGGTAAGAACCCATGATCTATAAACAACAAGGAAGATAATGCTATAGACTAGACTTAAAACAGAAGCTTATTAAATCGTAAAATCAATGTTTGTAGTTAATTGAAGTTATTTAAAATGAAAATTGCTCTAAGAACTCACTAATACCATCTTAACCCTAACAATAGTACTAAGTATCTTTGTAGATGCTGTGTTATTAGCGATTTAAGTGTCACCAACCATTTCCATCTGATTTAACCAATTGAATTCTAACAGTTGCCAAATTGAAAAGAGCAGGTAGCTCCCCCTATTTAAGGTTTTCCCCATACCAGTATCTCTGACGGGTTCATCTTTATATGCATGTTCGCACATCCATTAATCCGTTCCTGAACAACAGCGGAAAAGCGGACAAATGAAGGGAAAATGGCAAGGGGAAAACTGAAGCCGTATACAGTCACTGGGGAGTCAAGGAATTTATGGTATAAAAAATGGATTTGCGATGTTTTCGCTGTGCAAATTAAATTTATTGCCGCGGATACTTATCCTTGTGCCCATTGTTGCCAGTACCTTTAGCTACACGTATGCCCACGTGAGTGGGGGTTGGTTGGTTTTGTTTGGTAAGGACATGGGCTGTATCGCATTCACCAAAAATTTATTCGCGGCTTTCCATGGCGCTTTCCATTTAACAGATGGAAATGGAAAATTATGAAGCGACGTGCCCGGAACTGCAAAGTTCCTACTGTTCGCGTGCCCACATAATAAATGTACCTGCCTAAGTGAACAAAATATAAAAAAAAAGCGAAACAGCAATGGGAAAAAATTGAAAATTAAAAAAGCAGGGAACAGCGACAGACAGACAGATGCACGCTCTTTTTCGAGTCCCCCCCCATGTATTTGTTGCATTTGCCTGACAATGAGACAGACCTCCGCCCACTCTGGCCACCATCCAGAAACGACTTCTCCTCCTCCATCCACCCACAGACTAAACGGAATAAGCGTTAATGCTTCGTTTGAATGAATTTTTGATTGCGTTGTTTACGATTGAATTTACTTCCTGCCAGGGAAACATTTTTTTCCAACGCTTTGTTTTGTTTGCCTATGTTTTTTTTTTTTTGTTTTCTTTTCTGCTTGGGGAGTGAGCATAAATTTGCGTAACACAGCTTCTCCGGAATTTGCCTTTGCAAATCCGTGCGAATTTTTGTTCCCAAGTTCTAAAGTTAACTGTTGTTTACATCTCACCAACATCTCCAAGGAGGGTTTTTCTCTTCAGATCGGAGATAATCCAAATGGCAGCGGAAAAGTGCCGCTTGTGGGGTGTGGAAATCGTCTTAAACACTTTTCACATTCAATAAGCATTAAGGAAAGGCAGTCAGGAAATGCGATTTAATAAACGATAATTTCTGATATAAATAAATTATAGAAATAGGAAGTATACAGTCTTAGAGGGGAATATTCCAAATAAAGTTAAAAAATTATGTAAAAGTTAGTAAGTTCAAAAATTAAATCAATAAAACAAAAATATTCTTTTTTTAATCCTAAAAAAGTTTATATTACCATATAACATAAGAAATTTATAAAAAAAAAAATACCTTTAAATTTCGTAAAAAATTGTAATCCATCCTTTTTAAAGTTCTCTATTTCAAGAATTTCAAAACCCCAACTGATGATGGCAAATCAGCGATATAATCTCGTTAAGGAACTCTTCATCACCACCTCCTTGAGTTTATCAGCCTATTGCGCAACGTAACAGGAAACCAATTAATCTCTATCAATGACCGGACTTCGCAGGCACAAGCTCAAGGATCAAGTGACAAGACATCGACTGGCTTAACAGACGAAAACCGAAATGGACAAACCGTGAAGTGGCCAGAATGATGGCGGGGATTTCTGAAGAGGGGTTGGAAGGATCTGAGATGGAGACAGGGACTGACATCTACGACTCCCTGGAGTGCAATCGGAAATGGACGCCGATGAAACAAATGCAAGCACGTAAAAAAGTCGAAGACCATGGAGCAGCGCAAAGGTTGCCCTTCTCTGACCCCTCGCAATTCATCCTCTTCTCAATTTGATTCCAGGACTCCTTCAAATCATCTGATTGGGTAACGTGTGGTATGAGTAATGAGTAAGAGAAAAGCCAGCCGAAAAGGGAAAACGATTTTCCGGTTCAATCAGTTTTGATTTAAATTGCAATTATTAACTTCAGTTTGCCAAATCATTTAAATGGGGATGTTGGGTTGGCACTTTGCCAACAATCTGAAGTATTTCTGTAGAAGGTTAATTTATTTCTATACTTAAAATTCAATGAGATCTTTAATATTTTGTTAAAACATAAGATTTTATTTTAATTAAGAAATATTTGTAACCCTTAAAAACAAAGAGTTGTTAAATAGTTTTATAGTCCCAACAGATAGGGCTAAGGCCAAGTTCTCATACGTAACAAATATATCTCACTAAGCTCTCACTCTTTGGCTAAAAATAAACTGACATTTTAAAGTATTCATCGTGACTGTCACCTCTGTGGGTCCTTCTAAATAATTATTATCTTTTGGATTAACTGAATAAGATAATTTTAATGAAAACTTTCCCAGGCAGTAGCAGATCTCGGTTAGCTTCCGTATTCATATAAAACCAATGTCAGAAATGATTTATATCACCAACTTAAAGTTGATTACATATGTATAAAGCTATATAAAAGAATTTAAGTATAAAATATAACGTAGTTCCTAACATACAACTGAAGTAAGGGAAACAATAATCAGATGATACAATGTAAACAGAACTGATTTCAGTCCAATGGCTGTCACATTTAGCTACGTAACCAAAACTTCTTTCTAAAAATAAACTTGTTAACGGCAAATGGCAAACTTGTGGATATCCAACCAAAACAATGAACTCTGTTTATCATTCCGAAAAGTTATAACCTCTTATCGGGATTAGTTGAATCATCTGAACTCATTGAAAAGACTCCCAGACAGTAGAAGAACACTTCTAGCTTCCTTATCCGTTATAAATTATATCTTTCTTACGCCATGCAGACACCAAATGATCTCTTCTACCCAAAATGTGGTAAAAAAAAATTAAAATAAATATAATAAAAACAGGTCAATAAATCATTTTCATTTGTTTTAATATTTAACTAAAAACACACACTGGACAAACAGAATCTCGGGGAAGGATAGAGACCTAATCCTATGTTATAGTAAACAACTTGCTTAAATCTAGAGGTTGGAGATGCTAAACTCTAGTAATTATTTACACAATTTGGCGATAAGTGTTATCAGACGTTGGTCGGCTAAGTGCCATAACCAACACGGCATTATGCCAATAAAAGTATAGTGACGCAGTCCCATATAATTTTTCATTGCCATCAGATTTTGTTTTCACTCCTTTTCAACCCCACTATGGACTTCCTCATCATGTTCAGCTTTAAGGGGCTTCTTTTCCTCCTCATCCTCTTTATTGGCACCCAAATTTTGGAGTTCCTTGAGCCCAGGATCGGGCAACTGATGACAGCCACCATTCCATGGTTGCAATGTGGATTCCGAGAAAAGCACATATAAGATGCCACTGCCTGTTAACATCACTGAACTGAGCAGGAATACATTCTTCCAAGCATCAATAGTTTGCTAAAGATAAATATATATATATATAGATTAAAAATTCCAGTTCAAGCAAAGAAGTCTACTCACATTATTAAGGGTGAGCTGTCCAACGATATATGGTGATATGAAGCCCGGCATTCCGCCAATCATTCCACTAACACCTAGTACAATGCCTGCATAGTTGGGCGAAAGATCCACCATGGAGGCCAAGGGTCCGGAGGATACTGCGCCGTGGAACATGGTGGCCAATGTAACCAACACAATGGCTGCTGTTGCATTGTAACCAAAGTAAGCCAAAGCACAAACCAAAAGACCCTTAACGCCACAACCTAAAAGAGTAGTATTGAATAAGTTTATAAAGTTATCCTTCGGAAACTAAATTTTCGGAGCTCTAAACTTACATACGAAAGTGGCCAGCTTGCGAACATTGGTGCGACTCAGACGATCGGTCCGCAGCAGATAATCGGCGAAAATGGAGAAGACGTAGGCGAAGAGCATCCTCATAAGATGTGGCAGTCCCGACAGGAAGCCAGTCTAAAATATAGGACATATTTATGTGTAATTTTTAACCTAATGAATAGAGTTCTCCAACCACTTACCGCTCGGACGTTCCAGTGATGGATCAGTCGGAAGTATGTCGGTGCATGGGTCATCAAAGTAAACAGGCCCCAGATACCGCCCCATTGGGCTACCACATTTAACCATACCGGACGGGAAGTGGCTATAGCCCTCCAGGGGGTGGGTCCCTTGGTACTTTGAACTGAGGCTCCCAAAGACTTCTCAATATATTTCCTCTCGGAATCAGTGATACGAGGATGCTGCGCGGGGCTATCGTAAACTAGGAACTGCCAGGCGATGAACCAGAGAGTGCCCACGATTCCACAGATATAGTAAACCCATTCCCACCTTGTCCAGTCAATAACATAGCCAAAGATCGGATAGAACAGAGCGACGCCTACTGAGCTGCCCAAATAGGCACTGACAAACTTGCTGCGCTCATTTGGCGGAATCCATTTGGCAGTGAGCACGTGCATCGATGGCCAGGCCAATCCCTTTTAGTAAGAAACTCAATTAAAATCTTTTTTAAAACCCAGATTACCGATCACTTACAGTTATCCATCCCTGGAACACTCGAATGATAATCAAGCCCGTATAGCTCCAATAGGAAATGATTGGTATTAGGAAACAGCAAAATACACCGATGCCATTGGACCAACCGAAGACCAATTTAGTGCCATATTTTGTGGCCAAGATACCGCCGGGAATCTGCAATGTCCAATGGGCCCAGAAAAAGGATCCCAACAGAGCGGCCTGCTGCTTCTCGTTCCAAGCAAATCCTCTCTTTTCGTATGAAATCTGTCAAAGATATAGAGCTCATGTTACTCATACGCCCCGTTGTTGCACGAACTGCATCACTTAGTGGCCTCATTAAACACTTAACCAGTGATTCAGCGATCTGATACTCACATTTGCCCGATCCATAAACCAACGCTCCAACGAAAATCGTTCATTCAATTCTGGAAGGGCAGCCAAGTCCGAATCGTTATTTACAGAACTATTTTGGATTGCCTTTCCGGCAATCATATCCACAATGGTGATGTTCAGATTGATCCGGATCATATAGTTGACAATGAAGCCCATGAATGTCATGTACCATAGCACAGTACGCGCCTCAACTGAAAGATCAAAGCAAAATATTTTCATGAAACGCGAGTCCCCAACTTGTGGTTGAACTTCAGTCTGAGATCTTGAACCAGATTTTCGATTTTCGACGAACTTCGTGGTAAGTCACAAATTTCGAATCATTCTCGTACCTTGAGCCATGGTGAGTGGATTGGCTGGTGACGGTCTTCTCTTATGTTTAGATTCTGCATTCGCAGGAATCACAATCCTTTCGATTGGATTTCCGACGATCAACTGCTGCGAACCGCTGCCGGAATGGAATGACAGACCCAGTCGGCTTCCAGTCGATCCGCCTGTATCTGTATCTCTTTATCCCCGCCGCACGCTACTGATAAGCGCCGCAGATCTGGCGGATTATGCTGCAGCTCGGCTCGTGATCGCTCATCTACCTGCCCTGCATGCGACAGAAAGCGACCAGTTCGGCGATCGGTCCCGCTCAGATAAAATTCGCATTTAGGCAGATCGGATCAGTCAGCTGTTAGACTATCTTTATGACATGGCGTGCTCCCTGTGGGTTTTGCTATCGCATTACGAGACCTGGAGACAAGATATTCCAGGAGACATTTTAACGACGTGCCGCTTGTTGGATTTACAGCTTCACAAAATCCAAACAAACAAGATTGTGAAGCAGAAATCTCAAAGTTGGAAAAATGGAATACCCATTTTGGTTGGGTTCATTTTGAAGGATTACCTTAAAAATCCTTCTAAAGATGTACGATATAAAACCATAAAATCTATACAAACATTCCCAATAATAACAGAATACTAACCAACAAAATTTGAAGATACAATTATATTTAAGTTTACACTGATAAATTCACGAGACGCGAACTATTGAGAACTTTAGTCAGAGTTTAGCTGTGCTGTTATTGCCACGCAAACATTTACAAGTGGATCACGACGTACACTTACTACAAAGCTAACATAAATCATGAAAACCATAAGTTTCCTTGTCATATATTGCAGCATTTCCGAATTGCGAACATCTTTGCAGTAAGTGAGAAATGTGCACTTAGGTATAGGCTAGCTTAAGACCCACAAGTGTTTTTTTACATCGAGGGCTATCAACGGTGCGAGTCTGCCGTCGTGGGGGACACCGCCGCAGGGCGTGGTGCTCCACAAGTGGCTTCCCACAGACGGCTCAGCACTCATCCGACATTCTCATAGGACATCGCAGGTCGTTCGCTGGCAGTCGACCCGAAGATCGTTGGTGGATGGTGCTGTTGTCCTTGCTGCTGGTGTGGATGCTGTTGCTGCTGCTGTTGTTGGTGGGGATTGTGGGCATGCTGGTGCTGCTGGGCGGGCGGTTGTTCGTTTCGCAATTGACCCAGCGGAAACATGATGTTGTGGGCCATCTGTGGGTGGTGCAGGTGTTCGTTGGGTGGTGGTGGTGGCGGTTGCTGGTGGGCAGCATGATGGGCCTGGGCGGCCTCCACATGCTTGCGTTGCTCGCTCTGTTGCTGTTGTTGTTGCTGATGAACCTTCTCAACGGCACTTTCCTCGTACTTTTTCTGTAAAAGGAAGGGCAGCTGCTGAGAGGCATGGAGAGACACAGATACTGGCCCTGTGGCTGCCACCCGGTCCACCTGCGACTGAGGCGAGGGCTCCCGTTCGCCCTTCTCGTACTTCTTTTGCAACTGGTACATGCTGTGAGACAAATGAGCAGCCACCGAAGTGCTGCCACTGCTGCTGGAGGTCAGCTTTGAGGAGGTCGAGGTGGATGAGGGAGCTGACTTTTCCGCTTTGACGGGCAATTTTTTTTGGTACTTTTTTAGTATCTGCATTAGTTCGGACTTCACGTCTAGGCGTATTTCCTCAGGAACCCGCTTGATCTCCTCGTACAGGGATAGGAGAAACAGCTTATCCGGATCCCGATTCTTACGCTTCTTGCTCTTCTTCGGAAATGCATCCTGCATGAACTGCAGCAACTTTTCCTCGAAGGGTGTTTCCCTGGAGAATGATACACCGCCATGCTGACGCCTCAACAGATGTGGATGTAAGCCGCCATGAAAAGCAGGATGCTGTAGCATCCCGGAGTGCGGCTGGCCACCGCTTCCATGATCACCGCCTCCTCCACCTCCATTGTGCGTTTGTAGCTGGGGCAAGGGGTGACCCTGATATGAGCCACCATTGCTTGATCCAGGTGCATCGTTTGTTTCGCCATCATTGGTGTGGTGATCCTGCTGTGGCTGTTGTCCTCCATGGGATTGCGGATCTTTTGGGTGCTGCAGGTTGTGTTGGTGATGACCTACTGCTGCCGTTAGAATGGCATCGCACAGGTGCTCCGGGGGATAATCCAAGCCGGTCAAGAAGTTCTCTGCCTTGAGTTCACCATTCATTTCCTCGTAAAAATACTCGGTACCCACAATGTCTATGATGTCGTTGTCCTCCTGATTAAGTTCAATGCCTGGTGGCGGAGATCCTCCAGAGAGTTGACAACGCTTCAGTTCCGCCAGTTTCTTTCTCGTGGTCAGCCGCATATCTCGCCAGCACTGAAAGGGATTTGTATACAATTTGGACATAATGTTTGGTTAACATACCTTTTTCCATTGAATGATGGTCTTCTTGGGGCCAATTGTGTTTAGAGCCGCCTGGATCTTTTCCCAGTACCACTCCTTCTCTTTTTTGCCCTCCATGTACTTGGTTTCCCGCAGTAATGTGATGAGCATTTTCTTCTGCGGCTTGGTCACCCGATCCTGGAATAAAAATATTTTAATAAACTGTTTATTTTCCCGCCTCGAAAACCACAATTGTTGCTATTGTTTATCCAAATGCCATCGGTGTCTACAATTTTTTGCTGCTCCCCGCACTCATACATACACGGTCCATGCGTGTGTGTGATTCAAGAATCGGACGATTTGTAATTTTTGGACCATGCCATTTACCATTGTAAGCTTTTGTAGGAGTCTGCGTTGGTACGAAATCTTGATGTTTTGATTTTCAGCCGCCGTCAAGTTTTAACTGCTAGATTGCGTTGACTTTTGTTTAATTTTTCACTCCCTCAAACATTGCTGTTGCTGTCTCTTCTTCTTCTTTTTCGTCTCGTTGCGTATGTGTGAGTGTGCGTTTGACGGTCTCACCAGTTTGACGTTTCGCCCGCCCGGTTGGAAATCAGCTGATGCGCAAACGACCGTTACAAAATTTGAGTGTAACGAAAGTAGTTTAAAACAAAATACATATTTAAGGTATTTGGAAAAATTAAAATAATTTAAATGCTTTATGAAATACTTTATTTTTATAAAAAATTTATTCAAATAAAATAATTACCAGACTGCACTGGTGAAACTGATTGGTAAAGAAATAAAACGCTGTTATAAATTTAACATTCAAAATGACAACTTAAACCTATACACTTACATATATACTTATTTACATACATATGTGTTTTTTTCTTCCATAAATAGAACTCGGTTTAATAAGTAAGTTAGTTTAAACCTTAAAAACTATGCAAACATATCATTCAATTCCATTCCTGCTTTCAATGCGAGTGTTTTTGAAAAATTGATTTAAGACATAAAAACAAGTTTTTAATTTAAGAGTGATGAAAAATAGGACTTCCAGTTGAAATTCAGCGTTTGTTGGTCGTTGCTTGCCGACTGACCTGTCTGGTTATGGTGGACACACCCTCCTCGAAAAGTGTGCGAAACAGAACGTTGGCATGGTTGAAAAGACCATCCTTGAGAGACACAATTAAAAACTGCGAATTGGTGAAGTGCTGCTTCAACATGCTTCCAATGTTTTGGGTGTGCGACATGTCTAGAGCGGCATCTACCTCATCCAAAATGTACAAAGGAGCAGGAGAGAACTTCAGCATAGCCAGCACAAGAGATAAAGCTACCAAAGACTTTTGACCACCCGAAAGCTCGCCAAGACTTTCCTTCCACTTGCCATTGAAGCCAACCTTGATCTCCAAGCCGGTCAGACAACCATTGGTATGAACTGGATTTAGTTTCGCATCAGCACCTGGTAGAAGAGAGCTAAAGATACCACTGAAGTTGGCATTTACTTCGGTAGCAGCTCGGTTTAACTGATCTTGTTCTTCCTCATCCATCTTAACAATAATTTTTTTAATCTTCTCTTTGTCCATGGCCACAATGTTTCTACGGCGCTCGGTCTCCTTGAAGTTCTCCTCCTCGCGATCCAGAACCATTATGGCATTCATGTTAAGGGTGCGCTCCATTTTGTCCTTTTTTTCCTGCATCTTCGCCAGCTTATTGCCTGCCTCGTGGGGATCTTCCTTACTGTAGTCATATCGGGTGTTCTTCATACCAAAGCAGTTCTTCTCCTCCGGGATCCATGGATACTTCGTCTCAAGGGCTTCCATTCGTTTCTTTGCCTCATTCGCTTCCGAACTAATTTTCTTTTGCTCATTCTCTTTCTTTTTCAACTCCAGCTCAATTTCCTGATTTTGCTTCAGCATTTTGTCTTTCTTGACCAACTGATTTCGCATTTCCTTGTTCTGAGCATTCAGGTTATCTTTCTGGGTCTTAATGGCCTGTTCAAGCTCCGTCACTTCGGAAGCAGCGCTAGAGCTGTTTGCTTTTAGGGCATCAAGCTCAGCCTTAAATTTTTCGAGGTTGTCAATCATCTCCTGGTGCTGTTGCTTAGCAGTTTCTATAGTTTTCTGCAGTTCAGTGATTTCCAGTTGAAGAGTTTCAAACTCTTGCTCTCGCTTCTTCCAGTTGGCCCGGGATTTATCCGCCCGCTGCTTAGCCGCCTTTAATTCATTGGTAGCCGCTTTTAACTCCCGTTCGCGATAACCTTTGGCGTCTGCTAGCTTGGCCTCAATATCCTTGATTTTAGCCTGCGAGGTCTTTTGCTTCTCTCGGGCGTCGACAGTTTGCTGCTCAAGCATCTTTACTTTCTCCTTCATCTCTTCTATTTCTGCCTGATTCTGTTGAAAGGTCGTTTGAGCCAACCTGCTTTCGCACATAGTTAGCTCGTGCTGTCGCAGTTCTAGGTTCTCCTTTATTTTGTTAAACGAGTGGGCTAGGTTTTCAATGGATCTGAGAATAAGAAATGTAAGTCTTAGCCTTGAAAAATGATGTATATACATACGCCATTTGCTCTTCTACTTGTAAGATCTCACTATCGATCTCTCTGTACTCTCTTTCTAGTTTCTTGATAGAGTAAAGCTCTTCCAAGACATTAGCACCTTTGGGAGCAGCACCACCGGACACAGTACCATGGGGATCAACAACATCTCCTTCCAAAGTCACAGAACGACAGTTAATACGTGGATCGTAGCTGATCTGGAAAACCATTTAGATTAAAATCTTCCAAAAATCCAAAAACAAAAAACACTCACTTGTTTGGCTACTTCAAGATCCTTGCAAATTAGTGTTCCGCCGAAGCAAAACCTCATGACAGGCTCGTAATAGCTGTCGTAGCTTATTAGAGACATGGCCCACTGAACATTTTCTGAACCAACTTTGTTTTGAGCATACTCTACAACATTTCTACTTAGCGAGCCGGACTGAATCTTGTTAATGGGAATCATTGTGACGCGGCGCTGCAGGTTGCCTTTCTGCAGGATTTTCTTACTGGTCACATCATCATCCGTCACATAGCTATATAACTAGATAAAAAAAAGAATTTAACAGATAGTCCTAACAACTCATTTTAGTACTCACACTTCCTCCTGCGGTCTGTACAAGAGCCATTGAGTTTTGCATGTCATTCACCTTGAATAACTTGCCAACCATGCCGCGTACCTTGCGCCGATCAAAATTGGGTTCTGGATCCTGGTACTGCAGATCATATCGCGAGGCATTACAACGGTCTAACTCTCTTTTAAGCTCGCGTTTGCGCATGTGCAGATCGTTGCGTCGTTGCTTTAGCTGCTCGAATTGACCACCCTCGTAATTAAGACCTTTCAGCTGTCGTTCTAAGTTCTGAATCTCCGCAAGCAACTGATCATGAAGGTTTTTATCTTTTACGTAGGCTGCATCATTTGTCTGTGTCTCGCCCTCACGCTGTTTTAAGACACCACGCGTGTGGCGGAGCTCCAATTCCGAGGTCTTAATGGTGGTCTGTGCCTCGCTGAACTGCTCCTTGGCCACTAAATATTGGAATCAAGTTAAATGTATTTAGTTACAACCTAATCAACTTACCCATCAACTGTTCTTGCAGTGTTGAAGCCTGTCCATCTTCGTTTGTTGACAGTCCCTGTGAGACAGCCTCCAATTTCTTTTGGGCATCCTCGTAGGCTTTGGAGTCAGTAGCATCTGCTGTCTTCAAGCTTTCAAACTCTCCTTGAACATTGGCCATGTCCGCTTCTTTTTTCTTCAAGGCACGTACATCATCCTCTATATTTTTGGAAGCCATACGAATCTTTTTCTCATCTTGCTGAATAGTTCCCTGCGCCGCCTTTAAACTACCCGAGGCAGTGGCCTCCAGTGCACGTTTTGCACTAAGCTGGGTTTCAAGATTTTTAATGGAACCACCCATCTCTGCATCGATCTGCTGCTGCATCTCCTTTACGGATGCTTCAATGCTCTCGACATCCTCGAGATTCTTAGCATGCGTGGCCTTGCAGTTGGCTATGCGATCCTCGACTTTCTGCTCATTCGCTTCCACTGTTTTTAGGGTTTCGCATTGTTTCAAATACTTGGCGGAAATGTGAATCCTGATGAGAAAATCAATGTCACGACATATTTTTTGGTACTCCTGGTAAGCGGAGCGTTCTTGTCGAAGCTTAACCAATTTTGGCAGCACCTCCTCATCGAGCAAGACCTTAGTCTCACGGACTTTGGTCTCCTTTTTCTCTATCAGGGTTTTAGTAGCGTCGCGCTTGGTTTTGTATTGACTGGTTCCAGCTGCCTCCTCCACCATAGACAGAACCTAAGGAAATGAGTAAGTTATTGTAAAGAGAAAATATATATTAATTTCTGAAAAAATACCTCCTTAGGCTTCATGTTTAGCACTTGCTGGATCTTGCCCTGCATGATCAGGAAGTTGGGATTGTTAACGTTTAACTGAATGGAACAGAAGAAGTCCTGGACCTTTTTGTTCTGCACAAGTTTGCCATTGATCAGGAATTTGTTCTTTCCACCAACCACCACTTGGCGGGCAACAGAGATCTCCCGGCACTTCTCGTAGCCCTGCGGACACTGGGCGGCATTTGTGTTGTCAAACACAATGGTAACAGTGGCCTTGGTGATGCCCGCCTGTCCGTTTTTGTATACCAAATCCTGCAGTGCCGAAGCTCTCACCTGGTAAAAGGATAAAAGTTGAAATACTTATTCCAATTTTATATATCCACTTTATACTCACATTCTGCAAATTACTGATTCCTAAAACAAAGCAGATGCTATCCAAGATGTTCGATTTTCCGGAGCCATTTAAACCAGTAATGGCCGTGAACTCCGGATCGAATCCTTCTATTTCTGTGCGACGCCCATAGGATTTGAAGCCGTCGAGCACTAGCTTCTTTACATACATTTTAAAGCGAAGCCCTTTTCCTAATATCCGGCGTTCTTTGCTTTTAATTCCGCGTCAAAATTTTGCCGCAATTAGTGTGACCGTGGTGGAGCATCTAAAGCAAACCAAAATGTCAAGATGCGAACGATATCGATAAACGGTTGCTTGACGCCCGCGTAGTGACGAAGATATTCGCGGGTCAGTCAGATCGAAAATATACCTTCTATAAGAAGATCTACCTTTTAAAAGTCAAGCAAGTGGTGTATGGGTTTAAACAAGAATTTCGTACAAATGCATATTGTTTGTTAATGTATACAAAAGTTTTTCAGTAAAACATATTGCTTCAAAGTGTCTTCGTCACTACAATACCTTTTGTAGTTAATTTAAAAACAAAGGTAAACAGAATGGATGATTTCGACGACGATTCCTTTAACGATGTTTTGGGCTCCATGGAAATGCCCTCAACGGCGAAGCAGCCCAAAGTAGTTCCGCCACTGTCTTCCACAGGGGCTCCCAGTAGCAGCACATCCAGTTCCGCAATTCCCAATTCGGCGCCCGCCAAGACCGCTTCTAGCGCGCACAGCGTTCTCGTACACAGCAAACAGCGGGGCAATCCGATCCTGAAATCTATCCTTAATGTACCATTGGAATTCCGAGACGACATCGTGCCGGATTATGTTGTCGGTCGGACGTCCTGCGTCCTTTACCTATCCCTGAAATACCACAATCTCAATCCGGACTACATCTGCCAGCGTCTAAAGACTTTAGGAAAGATGTACGAGCTACGAGTTCTCCTGGTCCAGGTGGACACACCGGAACCACACAATGCTCTTAAGAGTTTGACCAGGATCTCACTGTTGGCCGATTTGACCATGATGTTGGCATGGAACGCCGAGGAGGCGGGCAAAATTATTGAGACCTACAAACAGTTCGAGAAGCGACCGCCAGATTTAATTATGGAACGAGTAGAGTCAAACCCGCATCAGAAGGTATATATTTGTAATAGAATTCCCTATTTGCCTTAGTGATGAAACACCTACATTTTTTGTTTTTAGCTTGTGGCTGCTCTTACTAACATAAAACCAGTTAACAAAACGGATGCCGTCACCCTGCTGCAAACCTTTGGCAATTTGGGCAACATAATCACAGCCAGCGAGGAGCGACTCTCTCAGGTGATGGGACTAGGTCCACGGAAGGCCAAAAAGCTTTACAAAACCTTGCAAGAGCCTTTCCTCAGCAAATAATTTCTATTGTTAGATTAAGCGCATCCCATAACTACATACATAGGTGTTATCCACTTCATCTGTCATTTATATTCTTTAATTTTTATGCAGAAACTGTACACAAATCATGTTCCATTATTATTTAAATACATATACCACTTAAATGTAAAAAACATTGGTATGCTACTCGGTCACTTTCCAAATCTTAATGGTGCCGTCATCGCTGCAGGAGATTAGCTGCCCAGGCACTACAGGATTCCACTGTACGGAATTTACATCTTGATCGTGTGCACCTTCCTCCGACGTTAGTTGCTCGAACGTGGGTTCATCTGGTTTGGACTCGATGGTTTCCTTGAAAATGCGGATGCCATCGTCGCCGCAGGCACTGGCTATCATACCTGTGAGCTTGCACCAGGAGACGTCGTAGATAGCTCGCGAATGCTGGCCGGACAGGGTGCAGACGCACTTCCACACTGTCTGCTTTTCGGGTGTAGCCACTCCGGCTGAATTGCCTGGATGGTATGCCCGCCAGATCTTTATTGTCGCATCATCGCTGCACGAAACTAGACGCTCGCCATCTACATCAAAGTCAATGCTCCAAACCGTGCTCGTATGGGAAGATAGCGTTGCCGTGCAGTCCCAGTCGTCATCTATCGGGTCCTCGGCGAACATTTTTATGGTATTGTCGTACGATGAGGAGGCCAGGATCTCTTTAGTCGGATGCCAAACCACTCGCTTTACGTCCTGTGTGTGCGCATTCAGAACGGCGGCGCATTCGAACTCATCGTCGCCGGCCACCTCCCAGATCCACACGGATTTGTCACGCGAACAGGTCGCCAGAAACGTGCCAGTTCGCGACCAGCTAACGCTCTTCACCTCGTTTTCGTGACCCTCCAGGGTGGCGTTGCATTCAAATTCTCCCGAAGATTTCGACCAGATCGCTGTGGTGGCATCAAAGCTGGCCGAGGCCAAGTACTGACCACATGGGGACCACCGGATTTCGCGAATAGTGCGCTTGTGGCCGTCGGAAAGAATAGTCTTGGTGGTCCAAGTGCTCCCATTCAGCGACCAAATGCGAATGGCTTTGTCCTCGCCACAGGAGGCAAATACGTTTCCCTTAGGATGCCATGCCACACCCCAAATGCGTCCTTTATGGCCTTGCAGCGTGTGCTCCAGAAGTAATCGTCCCATTGCTGTTCAAGTGCGGTATCAGTGGATAAATCACTGTCAGTCCGAATTTGATAACAAAGGCGCATGGAATGAAGAAGCAGGTCAGCTGTTGTCAGTGCTGCTGAATGTCAGTAGAAATTGTTCTTTTAGCTGTTTTGATTTATAAAAAAAGGTTTTTTAATTTAATTAACTTTGTTCTTAAACTGTTACAATCAGCCACTCATTAATTTTAAGATCATACAAACTATTGGCTTATCCCTTTAAAAATTATACTAAATATATAGAAATTTGTATTTTAGAATCTGAGCTGACTAGCACTGAAGTGGTGGGTGTTAGTGTTGAGCAACTGCGAGTGTAGCTCACCTTTCCTTATCAAGCGAACAAAATTCCGTTACCCAACACCTAGTTACCGATAAAGTGGAGAAAGTTTTGTTGTGTATTTAGTGTTTTGCTAATGCTGATAAGAAAATGAACGGACTTATTGTCTTTAACAGCGCCAACGACGTTGTGTACCAGAAACTGAACGAGCCGCTATCGCAGAAAATCAAAAATGTTGCCACCACCCAGGGTCTTCTCCGTCCTGGCGGTACCCTGGACAGCAATGTTCTGCTGCAGCTTTTCAGTCCCATCGTTGGATCGCAACGTATAATGCAGTGCCAGTTCGACAATGCCTACACCAGTTTGCAGTGCGAGCAAGGCTTTAATTTGGTGTTTGGCGAACTCCTGGGGTTCACGTTCCTAAAAATCGGACAAATTCCCGTCGAGCTGCTAGGACGACAATTGGGTGTGTCTATTACACTGACGCGCTATTGTTACGGAGCCAATTTATTTGCCGCTCAGGCAGGCGCTATGCAACAGGAACTTCTGACCCAATGTCTGGATTGTTATGAAACCCTGTTGTGTCAGGAGGACCAGACCTACCTTCTGGAGGCCATGCCCAAGCTTCTGATCAATACCGAGTTGAAAAGGACTGTACATCTAACTCTTGATGCAACGCTAGAGCACCTGAGGCAGCTGGGATTACCCCGGGCCCACGTCCTGTTGCTAGTTTCACACAAACTAGTAGCCGCCAACAGCACACGCCAAGCGCTACCGCTTGCTGCTGCAGATTTGATTTTCCTTAGCCTCATGGCGCGAGCTCTCCAAGCGCCGAAATCCCCAGCTCAGCGGGCAGTGGCTGTATTTTTGCAAGGAGTCTCCTACGACGTGAACTCTGGCTGCGTACCCAGCATCGTTCATATCTCACGCCTTCACGGCAACCAAGTGCTCCTCCAGGTCATAGAGTACGCCCACATGCCACTGACCAGCTGTATTTACGATTCCTTCTTTGTGCTTCAAAAGATTGTTGCCGTGCAACATCAAGGCGACTCCGACGCACTGAAGCCCGCATTCGAGAATCTGGAATCCTTTATAGTCCAATCCCTGACAGCTTTAAAGAAATACCTGAAACAGCGATCTGAAACAGAGGACTTGGAAAACTGCACTAAAAAGTTCGCCGCCAAATGGGAAAACCTCCGAAAGATGTACACGGAGTACTTTAAGAATTATGAGAGAGAGCTTTTGGTACGGATCGAGTCTAATCTTCCTTCGTTTGGAGAGGAACTAAAGCAGATATTCACGTTGGCATGCTGCGACAGCTCCAGTGTTCATGAGCTGGACCAACTCTCCGATACGGCAGCAAATGTAGAGGCAAAGCTGCTTGAATTCGCTGAATTTCTGGCCGTCAAAGCTACTCGAAATATATCTATAGATGCTTACTTGGAGGACTTTCCAGGTCTAGTGCACTTTATGTATGTTAACCGCAGCAGGGGACAAATGTTGGCTCCGGATCTGCGACCCAATCAGCTGGTGCCAAAGACAAAACTCTGGAGCATGGTAGAGATATCAAGGAGCTACCTTAAGAAGGGCCAGACCACGGTTATGTGGAAGGACAAGGCATTCCACTATTCTTATTTCCTGTGGTTCGAGGATTTATCGGGTGGCGTTCTTAGCACCGGCATGGATTTGCAGCAACACTTTCTGTCCACAGGAGCTGCTAGTGGCAATGGTTCAAAATCCCCAACAGAACCAGGAGCTTTAACAATGGACTACTACCACGATCTGACTGAGTTGTGCTTTCCGAAGCTGTCTCCGGCAAAAGTACGAGTTTATGAATTGTACTGCATTCATCTGGGACTTGTAACCGCCACATGTGCCGTGGAGCACGCCCGACGTCTAGTGGCCACCATCAGTGATGTTGTTGGCGAAGAAACATTTTAATGAAGTTTAACCACGTGCAATCTTCGCATTCCAAGCTACATTTCCAGCGTTATAACATGATTTCTAGTCAATTTACGAGACTCCTCTGGAGATAATCCGATCGAAATTTTTTTAGGTTAAGGACAACTATCCACTGTTATAGGCTACACCATATTGATATTTGTAAAATAATTGGAACTATTTTTTCGTTAATCGGCAATAAAAACATAACAATTTATCAGTTTATTGTGTTTCTGTTTCTTGTGCCTTCTTGAGTTCCTCCAGCTTTTCCAGAAAGAATGATTTTCGCGCTGTCAGAGGCATTGATTTTTGACGAAGCATATAGTTTTCGTTACCCAGAGCAGTGTAGGTGTCATCACCGATCAATTCTCTCAGCGCAATGTTCTTCTTTAAATGCTTATCGTAGTAGCTAGCTCCGGCTGCTACGTACTGACCACCCATGCTGGCTAGCTTCTTGTCAATCTCTGCATCCGTGGACACTTGATTAAAATCTTTCATAAAAGACCAGATGCCCAAGCCAAAGAGTCCCAGAATGCTGTAAAGCACGAAGCGTACCTGGGAATTCGAAAGGAAATCGTTAAAGTCATTAATAGTATAAATGCTTAGGGACTCACACTTCCATGGCGTGCAAAGAGATCAAGACGCAGGTTAAGGTAGTGACCCATGGTGTAGACCATGAGAAAGCTGACGCTGGGGAAGATTGAGTTAAGAAGCACACGATGCGTTTGCAACTGCAGCACAGCCTTGCTCAAACCGAAAATCTGTTCATCCTCATTTAAAACGATGGCCTGTTCAAGAAGCTTTCCGCTGGGAGAATTCCAATTGATTTGTTGATCCCTGAAGCGAATGTCCGCCCTTTTAATCTCTTCCGGACTTCCATAACCATAGTTCACGGGAATGCCTAGAGCGCCACCAAAGCGCAACCTAGTTGTCCCCGCCTGGAACAGATCGAATCCAAAGACGGTAAAGGGCTTCACAAATTTCCGCTCAAAGGGCGCTAGGCCCAACTGATCCAAAGCCTTCTGCAGCCGCTGCTGCACTGCCTCCGGCACAGGACGCTCTACGCCGTGTCTACAAATGGATGAAATGTTACAATGGCTCCCAATCAGAACCATTTGCTCACCCACTGGTAGCACTGCACAAAGTCTCGGTAATACTTCAGACCAAATGAGTGCGGCAGAAAATTGCCCACAAAAAGGGAAACTGTGGTGGCTCCCGCTGCATAGAAGATCAGCTTTCGACCTCTTTCAGTCTTAAAAAAGGAGAAGAATCCTCCGCCGGCTTTCTTCTGCATTTCAGCGTTTTATGTTTTGTAATAGTTCCAGGGTGACCATAACTATCTATTAAAATTACCCTTGACAAGAACCTAATAGGGGTGTTCCACAGCCACACTAATAATAAGCCTTTTTTTAAATTTAAATATACGGCTTATTCAACAAAATCTAGTGTAGTATTGTATAAAAAACTTTAAGAATTGATGTATGTGCAAATTTGCAATAAATAAAACTTAGCAGAGTTTATATAGAACAGATCTATTGAAATATCATTTCCTGAAAGTGCGCCATTTTGGTCATTCTAGGACTAGAAATTCTTCTAAAACAATTTTTTTAATAACTCGAAACATTCTGGGAGAATATTAAATTCTTCTTTTAATTATATTTTTTTCACGCCGTATCATGTTAAAAGAACTATACAACTTTACTTAAGCTTAGAAATAAAACTAACTGCTAGCAGCGCTTTGCAGCTTAATATCGACTACAACTATGTGGTTCTTGGCTTCCTTTAGTCGCCACCAGCGACCCAGGCGGTGCTCCTGGCCTGCAGCGACAAACAGCTTGGTCCCATCAGCATTGAACGCCAGTCCGTTGATAAAACCAGCGATGGCTATACTCTGTATTAAAATAATTTTTCGCGCGTTGGGATTTGTCTGCCATAGACGAACGTAACCATCACAAGAGCCTAAAGACAAACAGAGAGGGGAATTAAGTGCTATTCTGAAACCGAAATATGAGTAATACCAACCTGTTGCCATTAAATCCGTGTTGACCACGACAGCAATAGCTGTTATCCAGTTGGCGACACCATTTTCTCCCACTCCGTGTGCCAATGGTGTCGTGCAAATGGGTTTTTTCTTTAAGGCACTCCATAAACTAATGGCACTGAAAACATAGATACAAATGATTAACCCTTCACGATACCCTTAATTCCTACTTACCCATCCATTCCACCAGATACAAAGTGTTCATCGTTTATGTACTTAACGCACTCAATGCTGTCTTTGTGTCCGTTGTAAATCAGCTGCGACTCCTCTGTGATCTTCCAGATCCGCAAGGAACAGTCCGAACCGCCGGCGGTGATAGCACGCTCTCGACTTAAAGCATCTATACTTGTCACACCTGTTTGATGACCAAATCTGAAAGGGTATTTCGGTTAAAAGCTGAATGTTTTTGTTGCCTTATTACTTACAAACTTTCCACATAGGCCATTTCATCCAGCGACCAGATTTTTACCGACCGATCTTTGGCTGCTGTGTATAAATCATGAGTTCCTTTGCGAAAAACCAAACCTGCCACACTATCCCGGTGTCCTTTCAGAGTTTTAACATGCTTCATCGTCTGCGGGCACCAAATTTGAATGTTAGGACCACCTTCGGCCAATGCCAGAAACTTCGTATCAGAGGAGATGCAGATGGCAATGATATGCGATCGTCTTTTTTTTCCCGTTTCAGGTTCCTCACGATGCGACAGAACATCGGATTTCTCCAGCACTTTTCCCGTTTCCGTACACCATTTGAGGAGGAATTGTGATTTGGCTCCGGTGAAGAGAAATTTTCCATCTGGACTAAGTGTTAAGGCACATATGGGCGTGTGGTGCACCTTGTGCTTAAGGATGCCGCGTGATTCGCAGGATTTCAGGGTTCCAGCGATGTTCCGGCGTAGCTTGCCTACGCTGTCCAAGTAGTCCGTTTGCAGACGTTGCTCCACGCTCTGAGCTAGTTCTTGATCTTCTGCGCGGTCTGCTTCCTGCTTCTCTATTTCCGATAGGTACTGTTTGGCTAGACGTAGACGCTTGTCCTGCGCAGTCTCCTCCTCGCCCTCGTCAGAAGAAAATGCCAGGGTGTCATCTTCGCCACCCAGATCACTGTTGTACTCCTCATCGTCGCTAGCTATTTCCTCATCTTCCTCCTTTGGTCGACGCTGCTTTTTCGGCACTGTTTCGCCGGCTGTAGGCGCTGATTTTCCCGCTGTTCTGCCTTTTTTGAGGGGTTTTCCTTTTGTTGTTGCTGTGGGATTCTTTGGAAAGCGTTACAGGTGCTTCTTTTTACTCAGTGTTTTTTACATACCTTCCGTTTTTTGGTGCCCTTGGCACCTGGCTTAAGGAAAAAGGAGGACGACATATTTCTAGTAACTAGTTTTGCAGCTTTTATTTAATATTTCTGATAAAAAACTTAATTTAAATGAAGAAACGAGCCCACGTGCATACAATGAAGCGCGTGGCGAAATTTAGGGCATTTCTTGAAATCAGCTGTTTTGAATCCATGTATAGAAGCAGACTGCTATAAAACTCAGCCAAATAGGCAACCCTAAATTCGGCGCCAATGTATATAGGCTTTAAGTATTTAAAAATCAAGGCAATTAATTCGTTTTTATACATTTAATTTAAGGTAAATTTAAATTAAAACTTTTATAACTTGTACCAAAAATAAAAAACATTTATTTGTTATTGAATATACCTCTTTATTAGTTATATTTATATATGTTAAATCAACTACCAACTAAAAATCATTAAATAGTAAACTATATACTTCTTATATTTTTTTGTTTTATTTTTTCAAATAGTTATAAAAAATTCGCAATATTACACATTAGATAAGCATGATGTTAATGGTCAAAGAAATATGATTCGTTTGCTAGTGTTATAAAGTTATCACAAATTATGTATACTCTGTTTTTATTCTGTAAATGATTTTTATTTAATTTTGCAAGTTTTTGTTTTCGGTAATAAATTATTTATACGAGTGTATAGCGCCGGATTGAAGAAATATCTGGGTACCTACAAATCACGAGTCGCCACTCTCCGGCGGAGAACGTCTCGTTGGCTATCTAAAACTAAGTAACGCGTAAAAGTAATCGTAGTAAAAATAAAATAGGAATATCGCTTGGTGAGCCGTGCGATTTACATGATCGAGCATAGGCCCGACGTTTCGACGCCGCTCTGCACCTTTTTCGTCCGCTTCAGCGTAGCGTTCTGCAGTGCTGGCTTCATCTCTACGACGGGTTCCGGATCCGGGTCAACTGGAGCAGGCGGAGGAGTGGGCGATTTCCGGCTGGCCGACTCCGTCGGAACCGACGCAGCTGCAGTGGATGCGTTGGAGCTAATGCTCCGGCTTCCATTGTTGCTGGTGCTGCTTCCGCCATAACTGCTGCCAATTACCGAGATCGAGCTGATAACGTTGGAGGGAGTGCTGGTTGCAATCTTTGGCACAAATGTGTTACCGCCGCAAAGCACTGGAATGGTGGAAATAGTTTGAATGGCGTTCACCTGTTGCGCAGACTCTCCGGCTCCAGATGTGCCACCGGCTGCTCCTGATCCACCGATGACGCTGATGGCCGAAACTTGCGAGTCCGTGGTCATGGCGTTGGAGGCACTATTATGACTATTACTACTCGTATTCTTAGTGATATTTATCTTTATTTTATTAACTATGCTAGCCAAAGGTAACGCCGGACCCACTGCGCTCAGGTTATGCGTGGACTCCTGCTTCTCTCCATTAAGTTCCGCCTCTGTGTCGGCACTCACATCTGCCTGTTCCACCTCGTCCGTCTCATTGGCGGGCAAGGAGAGAGAGGTCACCGATGCGGGCCGCTCTATGGTGGCTGGCGAAGCCGACGAGCCGATGGTGTGCGTTTGAGTTTCTGCCAGGATGCCAGACGTTTGAGCAACTTGATAATTTACTAAGGGTAAGAAGTCCTTTAAAAACTTACCGCTGCTGTGGATTGAGATCTCGTCCTCTGGCAGGGGCAACAGTGATACCACCGTGCCCACATCTTCAAAACCATCGTCCTCGTCATCCTCGTATTCATCCTTGGGCTCCTCCTTAATCTTAACGTTAAGCAGCGCAGCCTTGGTCGCCTCATCCATCTCCTTCTCCACGTAGGTGTCTAGATCGGTAAAAGGAATGTTTGGCTCTTGGATCTCTACATCCGACTCATTGGCCGATTCGCTTTGGGGGTGTTCACCAAGCTGGTCCTTGTCGCTCTCCGGTTCTTTCGTCTCGGAGATGGACTCGGTTTTGTCCTGAGACTCATTTCCCATGTCCGCTCGTGTCACATTGCCCGGGACATATTCGTCCTCATCGTCGTCGTCGACAATTTCCGTGACACTGGGCTCTTCATTGGGAAGCACAATGACATCGTCGTCATCGTCATCCAAAATGGTTTGTGTTGTTTTAGCGGCACCTATGAAAATTTTAGTTATTAGCTAAAAGATTATTTTTACCCATTGAATATAAACTTACCATCATCATCGTCATCCTCTACTTTGATTAGGGTATCCATGGCGTTGTCATCAGTGTTATTCATGTCAACATCTTTGTCGGATTTAACCTCCGCAGGGGGATTCAACGATGCCTTGTAGTCCTCGTAGCACAGAGGATGGTAGATCTTATCCTCAACACGGATTGCACTACGCAGATGCCACTCCTCGAGCTCTTCATTGTAGAACTGCTCGAACTTCTCATGGCACATATCGCAGCAGTGATCCACATCATCTGTGCCGGCAGCACACGTTGGCACAGGGGAATCTAGCGATCGTTGCTGCGAAAGTTCTTCAAGAGTCTCAATACCGCCAGGTTGCCCCTGAGCCTCCAAGAAGTTCTTCTCTCGCTCTTCCACATCTTCGATTTCCTCGTATTGCCGCCAATCGTTGATATCATAGTACCATCTACGGGAGGTCGCTTTTCTTGTGGAATCCCTTTCCCTTCTATTTTGTCGGAAGTGCCAATCCAAATGCTGGCTGTACTTAATTGTTTGCTCTGGCGGGAATCTTACTCCACAGCTGCTGCACTGCATTCCCAAGTACAAAGTGGCCACAACCGCCGACTGTCGGGTCTTAATGGTTTCTGGCTTGTGAAGATCGATGCGCTTAATAGGCTCCATAGGTGGACCAGAGGGCACTGGTGCAGGTGCTGGTATTTCAGGTGCAGCTGTGGCTTCGGTGGCAGTGGTAGATGAATCTTTGGACACTGGCTTATCTGTGGCAGGAACAGCTGGCACAGCAGCTCCACCACCAATAATTCCGGACGAAACAAGCTTTTGGAACAAATCATTGATGTTCAAGCTCTCCAAGGCAGCTGCGGCTGCAGGTAAAGAAAGTGGGGCAGCAGCAGCTACTGGAGCAGAAGACGGTTTTGGTTGCTCCAATACTGGCAATGTTTTCACAATCATTGGAGGCGGCTGTGGTGGTTCCAAAGGAGCTTCAGTCTTTATATACACCATATCCGCTACATGAGTCTTTCCGGCTACAACTCCTTTAGGCAGCGTACCAAACCTAATGAAGCAGTTACGACCGCCATTTAAAGCCATTCCTTTGGGGAGGCCACCATATTCGATCTTCTGGAGCTGACCATCCAGCAAAGCGTATTGGAAGCTATCCACAAACTGCAGAGAATGCTGTTCGGCACCTAGCTGGAAAGTCTGCTGTCTGGCGTCCAGAAAGAGGGGCACAATAGTATGAGCATCCACAATCATATTAATCTTTCCTACAACCAAATCCCGTCGCACTCGGCCGATGTCCACGTTGGGTGGCGGACCCTCGGCCTTAATTATATGCATTTTGTTTCCAATCGGCAGCGATACTGGTGGACCACCGAAATATATCTCATACCAATGCTCGTCGATGTAGAGTTCGCGAGATGGAAAACCAAAGCGAATCCGGTGAAGCTGTCCATCCAAGTGGAATGGCTTGTAATCATCGTTGAAGCACAGCGGCAAAGGTTCATTGTGATCAATTAATATTACCCGTTGGCCCTGCTGGAAGCCAATTTCATGTGGTTGATCGCCATCCATGAATATAATAGCCACTTGATTGTAAAACCGTATCTCCTTGGATCCTCCGTCGATTGTAATGCTGCGCACTACATCCGCCATAGGATTGTCAAGAGAATTTATGGCTTTGGTCATGGTCACCGGTGGCACGGGCGGCAAGCCCATCATTGACGGCGGTTGTGGAGGTGGTGGCACTGCTGACTGGGGTAACACCATTGCTGGTGGCTGTTGCCAGGGCATGCCACGGAATCCAGGCTGAGATTGAACGGGTAGTTGGATCACACCCCCTCGCTTGTTGTTATTGTTATTATTGTTGGCATTGGCCAATTGCCAGGCGGCGCGTTGTGCAGCCCCTGGATCCACTTGATCACCCCATTTGCTTGGCTTGCGGCGCTTGTTGTCCCTCTTGGACTTATCCCTTTTATTTGATTGTTTCTCCACGGTAGCCGCCGGTTGTTCCTCGTACCTGGGCGAACCATCGCTACGTGGTGACCCCGAGGAATTTTCGTTGCCTTTTAGCTTGGGAATGCGTTTGCGAAGCACAGCATCCCTCGCTGCATTACGCTCGAGATCTTCCTCTCGACGCCGTGAATCCTTCATCTTACTGTTTTCATTAATGGCCACCACTTTCTGGACAAGATCTTTATACTGTTCCTGGTTCATGTTATGGTTCTCGTACATCTCCTGAGCCTGGCTAAGAATCGTCCGAACCTTCTCGTCGTGCGCCTCCTGAGAATCGTCGTTTGCTTTCAGCTCTGATAGCTGCTTAAGACGCTGCGACACGGCCTGGTCCTTGTTTTTATCTGAAGTGGATTAAATAAATTTATTAGCAGGATGCAAAAAATGATTATATAATTTTAAACATCAAATCAGCTTCCCAAAATGGAAACTAATGATTCCTTACCAGGCTTTCCCTTGTTATTCTGGAGTCTAGCTGAATTTGCCAACTTTGCACGTAGCTCCTCTAACGTTGCCTTCTTAGGAGGCGAACTAGATTTCTTTGTTGGCTGAGGGTAAGCGTAAAAACAAATTAATGAATAGAAATCATCAAGTTTTCTTATATATTTAAAATGATATAGAACTAATTGCTACCTTGATCACATCGCTGCCATCCATGGAATCGTCTTCGACAACAATAACCCCTGGCTTAACGACTGGAATTTCGCGGCGCAGATCCACGTCTTCACTGCCAAAGAGACTAATAAAGCGTAAAATATTAACAATTAGGTTTTATTGGCTCCCAAGAATCACTTACGCATCCAGTTTGGTTGACTTGCTGCGTTTCTGTTGTGGTGGTTGCTCTCCGTCGTCGATCTCTTGCGGCAGTGCGTCGGCGGGACGTTTCTCGGCAATACCAGACGCACCTTGCACTTGAAGCAACTTATTGATCGACAGCTGCAAGGCCTCCGATACATTACCCTGCGAGGAGACGGACGAGGTCGAGGGATCCAGAGCTGCTGATGGAACTGTTGTGGCTGCTGAAGTCGTGGGATTGGGATTTAGCAGTGATGCTGTTGATAGATTCGCTGTAGATTTTTCTAATTTATTAAACTGTTTTTGTATTTTGAACGACACTTTTGCGGGCAATTTGGAAGTGGACGCGGTTGACGGGGAGGCGTTGGAGGTGCCACTAGCGAGTATTATTGTGCTGCTGATGTGGCCGATATTTGTTTCCTTCTTGTCGAGGATTTCCTGTGAGTCGAAAGACGGAGGAGGCGGCGTCATTGGCCGCCTCAAGTCAATATCCAAGATCGACACATCTATATTCGTCTGACTTGAAGAAGCTGGAGGAGGGCCTGGTTCGAGTATTTGAAATGTAGCTAAAAAATTGATTTGGCTTGTGGACACACATTTTTTTCTTACGGCAGAGGAGAGTGGTAATCAGAATTAAGCAACAAAACAAGAAAACTTGGGAGAAACTAGGCAGAAAGTGCTAAGCAAATAAAATTTGTGGGGACTAGGTGGAAAAATTATAACGAAATCATAAAAGGGTACAAGGCCAACGAACATCAGGCACAACAATCGGGCTAGAGAAATTAAAGAGAACTAAGGCATAAATTATAAATAAAGATATCCATGGGCTCCGTTGGGGAACCAATGCAAAATCTAAGTTAGACTATAAAAAGTATAAAAAATAGTTATAATTAAAAGGGTATAAAAAGGAATAAAAGTGCCGTTCTACAAATACAAAATAATATACATATATATACGGATATAACTAGCTGGCTCGTATTTACATGGAAGCCAACTACAATGTACGCTTAAAATAAAAGTAAACTTAATCTCTTTATATAGTTTAAAAATGTTTGTTCACTTTTGGTTTACACGTTTGTTAACAAGGAATTAAAACTGCAGTCTTTATTTTATTTTAGTTTCTCTTCATCTAATCAATTGTTATCAATAGTCAGTTTAAGGTACAAGAAATACTTCACAGTTTAATCATTATGGTTTAGTTTTGGTTTGCTTTCAATTTAGGTGTACTTGTTGGTTTGACATTCACAAAACGAAAATCATCTTCAACTCAAACCAAAGGCGGCAACACTTGGCTACATTTTGCATTAATTAAAACAACTTGGAATGCAAAAGTTTTTAAACACATTTTATTTACACTTTGGTTTAGAATTTTCAAACTTGTATGAATTCTTTAAAAAACGCTTAAGTATTTAGAAAAAAATATGGCATATTTCTTAATGGTTGACGATTAATTGCCTAAAAACGATAGAAACTCCCTTCTCCCAAAAAAAAAGAAAGGTGGAAAACAACGTAGGATACATAAAATTCCAGCAGTTGGAAAAGGTGTCATCATTTGGTAATGTTGGTTATATTGGTCAGTATGGAACTGCCAAAGGCAAAAGATTTTAAAAGCGAATTGATATTACTGCCCAGCAGTAACTCAATTTTATAGAAATGTTGTACATAAAAACAACCAGAATGCATGGGTAAGCATTTTTTGTTGAGAACGGCAATTTAGTAACACAGTTTTACTTATCACAGACTTCGGCTAAACAGAGCAAAAGTTTTCCACTTGTCAACAACACACAGTCCCAAGCCTCCCTTCCACCTGCCTAAGCCATTGAGTGCCGCCATTTTGGTTGATAGTTTTAAAATTTTCAACTAAGCTGTCTGTATGTCTAGGTTCCGAGTCAAAAATGACTTGGTTTTTCGCTAACAAATGTAAAATTAGAATTAAAAGATGTTTCTTACGTTTCTCTAAATCATTTGGTGCTTTTGATGCTGCTGTTGATGATGCGGCTGCCTGAGGTACAGATGAATTAACTGCTCCTTTTGACTCTGGTGACTTGCTGCGGTTGGTGCGCAGGTCTACATCCATGAAGACTGGAGACCGACTGTGCGATCGCCCTGAAGATGTCTTTCCTCTCACCAAAGATGCGGACGATTTGTGGGAACTACGCTTGGGCTTGGATGGTGAATTAGTCGGAGAACTGCTCTTGCGCTTCGATGATCCTGCGGGAGAACCATTGCGAACATAGCGATCCAACTGCTCCTTAGATGAGTGCTTGCCGGATCGTTTCACCGGCGACTGGTTAGAGCTGGTGCTGCCGCCCTTGTGTCGCACATCAGAACCCGACGAAGATGACGAAGCATTGGAGCTTTTTGACTCACTTCGCTTGCGGCTCGACGAGCTGCTGTGATGGGAGCTCGCACTCTTTCCTGAACGACTGCTGCTAGATCGAACAGGTGATTTACTGCGCGACCGACTCGATTTCTGTGAGGAACTGGATTTGGCCTCCAGGCGAGGATCGTTGCGTGCGGATGCAGTCGTATGTGTCGACTGCGACTGCATTTGCCGCGCTAGTCGCGGATCTCGTTGGCGTACTGAGTTTAACAGCGCCGGATTGACTGGATTGACTTTTGGCTTATTGCTAAACTGCTGCAAGTTTTTAATATAATTAGGCTTTGTAAATTTAGGTTCTCCTCACACTTTCAAATTTACCTGTTGAACCGCTGGGACATTGGACATTATGGGGCCAGGATTGCCTAATGCACCCGGCACTCTTTGATTTCGCATTGCCAGCCCGGGATCCATAATAGGCGGTCGAATGGAAGTTGCAGTCGGTGCAGGCATGATTACCGGAGCCCCCGCCATAGCATCAGTGGCCTGATTTAGCTGACGCTCCTGCTCCTCTAAATGCTTTTTGGTTTGCTCCAACTCAAGTTCTAGTTTGCGCTTCTTGAGCTCCAGCAGTTCACGAGTTTTGGCCTGTAATATTTCTTCCATATCGCTGGGCAATGTGGGGTTAACAGGCATCCCCGGAACCATACCCTACACGAAAAATATCTAAGGTTACATATACGTTCTATATATATATATTCTAGTTTAGCTTACCGTTTTTAGAAAGTCTGGGTTAACGTGAATGGCCGGATTTACGTGGATTTTATTTGTTGGCTGTTTTGCTGTGATTGGCCAGTTGTTATCCAGGCGCTTCACCTTCACATCGAGAGCGTACATCTTAGAGGGTGGGAAGACCTCGTTCCAAGTCTGCCGCAGAGCATACATGCGCTCCCGCACCTTTTCTAAAACCTGAGACTGTGAATGCTGAACCTGCGGGATCGCAATAAAAACAATTAGGTTAGCAGTCAAAAGAAGTAATTATGGATACTTACCGATTCAAAGGCGTGCAGGAAAATGTTGACTATGCATTGACCAAACAATTGGACGTAGCTGCTTTTCACATTCTTTACTATCGAATCAATTAAATATAGGATGGGCAATTTAAATTCGGGCGCCACCTGTTTAAAGTTTGGTAAAATAGGTAAGAAATAAAGAACAATAAGTGTCTGCGGAACGTCGCTAGCAGAGATTCAGACAGATAAAGGGACAGAGAATTAAGGGGACTGAATTGGATGCAAAGACAGACTGACAACACAACAGCGGGGACAGCGATCATCCATCGAAGTCATCATCTTTAGTGGTTGTTGGGGAAAGTTATCTTTTCCCGTTTGTGTTTCAAAGGCAGAGCGAACGAACTCTAGCGAATATCTACTGCACAGAGAAGTATTCCCACAAAGCATTGCTTCTAACTGAAGAAACTACGTGTATCAGACTCCAACATTAGGGTTATATGTGTTCACTTATGATGTTAGCAGGTTTAATCCCTTTTCCAAGCGAAATATAAATGAAAATGTGGCAAAAAAAAAAGATAAAGTTCACTAGGACTTGGGACTTTAAATTTGAGCTTATTACTTTTACCAAAACTTGCTTATTTCTTTTGGTAATACAAAAATTGCTGCACATCAATTTTTTGATTGATTGTTAGCAGTCAATGTTTTTGTATAAAATAAAAGACAACTTGGTGACGATTGTTTAAGTATTTTCTCTTTTTATTTAATTTTTCATTTTTTAGGTTGTTTGTTATTCCTTAGCTTTAAACTCTGGAATCCAAAGTAGAAAGAAATAAGAAACGAGGAGCAGATTAAACTTCTTACCTTTTTAGAGGATAAAATCAGTCACGTCTTAAAACCCAAATAACTTTAATAAATATTATGATTATTAAGAACCTATCTAACATTTGGGCACGCGTGTTTGCAGAGAAAACCAACGGAGACTGGGAAAACTATGAGAAACAAAAACTACAGAAGGATAAGTGCCCTTCGTGGGTTTTCTCTGCAAACGAACGGCAAACGTAAACGATAAACTACACATTCTATCACAATTCCGACATGAAGAATCACTTTTTATGTCGACCTTCTGTTCGCTGTGTGTAAGCTGGAGTGTCTTGGTTTTTAAGTAAATACGCTTTTGTTTTGTTAACCTGGCTGATATAATATTCCACCACTTTGACTATGACTTGGGCGTAATTGATGTTCTCCTCGGCGAGCATTGTAAGCATATTGATGAGCGGCTTGCTGTTGCAGTTGAGGTCCTGCAGACTTGACAGGTATTCCTCGCCGATCCTCCGCTCATCATCGCGACAGCTTTCAAATAGCTGATCCATTTTGGATTCCAAATCCAAGATCTTGATCCTGCTTTTGATCAAGTTTTTTGGTTTGAAGAAATCGCAGTTGCTATGTTTTTGCTGAAAGGGAAAAAATACAAGGTAATTTATTTACTTTAAAAGTCCCCTTTGTTTCATATTCATAGTTAAAAAGGAGGTTGACTAAAACATACATTCAAATTAGTTTAAATGAATCACCTTGGCACACGTTTATTGGTATTTAATGAATACTTGTAACTAGAAGGTTACGATTAACAATTTAGAAAATGTTGTAGTGCATAAAACCGTTATCGTATAGACATCTAGTGATTATGAAATATTTAAGCAAAAGCAGAATGGATTTTGAAGGCTAAATGTAGGTAGTTGTTTCTTGTAAATTAAAAGCATCTTGCTTTTAGAGCTAACAGGGTTATCCTCAATATTTGGATTTATAACCCCCTCAATAGGTAAACAATCACGAGCGTCCACAAACAAGCGATTTTACTATTTATGTATACACACGTACTTGTATACATGTGTACACACACAAGCCAGCAACGAAAATTCAATATGGCGACGCTAAGGAATATTTTTCGCATGTGTAGCCTTGCTAAAAAATTAACCAATAAAGTTCACATTTCCGCTTTTCTGGCGCCGTTTTGATCTTAAATACGAAATATATATTTTTAAATAGGCACTGTCCTGTTTTTAGACCTTTTTTACTATATTTTGGTCAAGACAAAGCCACGTTTATGTTACTAACACACGCACACGCAGATTTTCAGATCAAATTTAAAGAAATTTTTAAGCCGCAATAAACTTCAAAAACATACCTTTTTATGTTAATTCATTTGTACAATCACTGCCAGACACTTTTGCAAAAAACCATTTCATAAAAGCACTGTTAATATATACAAATTAGCGTTTGAAAACTTTCACGTAACAACTGCGATGTATTTTTGATGAGTTGAGTTACTTTACTAAGTATGACCGTATTTGAAAAAGATATGAACACTCGTCGATAGGCATATTATTCGATAGACTCGATGTTATTGAGAGCATTCGATATTTTTTTATTTTTTTTATTAAAATTTCAATATTTTTTCGATTTAAAATACATATTTTAAATATATAATATAAATATTTAAAAATAAACTTTTGCCATAAAAAGGATTTCTGCAGACAACAAACCAATATTTGTTGTGTTCGAAAACCAGAATATTCTTTTTGAACATATGTAATAATTTGAAATATTTAATAAATCTATCTTTTAATACTATTCAGACTGTACCAACAGTCAGAAATTGAGTAAGGACTCTTTATTGTTGAATATTTATGTTCAGCATTATCCCCAAGTTCTTATCCGTATGGAGCTATCGCAAGCAGACCACCAGTAGACCAAAACTAGAATTTATACATATATGTACGTGTGTACGAAACAATCCGAAAAAGGGATTTTTATTTTCCTAGATTCCGTGGGAAATCGTAATTTACATTGTATTATTATTGCAATGTTCCGTCTATTAGCTGCATTTTAGGATCCTACGATGATGTTGTTAATGGGAATGTGTATAAGTTTAACGAAGAATCCGATGAAGCCCATGATGCAGAAGCCCACGGCGGTGGCAATAGCGATTTTCTGGAACTCTTTGCGATCGGGCTTCGTGCAGCGCTTTACCAGGCGAATAGAGTCCTTGGCGAAGACGCGTCCAGGTTCGGCAAACTTAACAACTTTATCCATTATGAAATTATGAGTATTCAACAGAAAATTTTCACTTAAGTGAACTGATATGGTTTGCTGCCGTGTCGCTTATTTTAGAGTTACCAACCACAAGAAGCTGAGATCAACTAAAAATGAAGACTTCTCCTATAATTTAATTGTTTATAAAATGTAGTTTTTTAAATATGTAATTATATTATATTGATTATTTTGGTTGTATGTTGAAATAGTTGTTTTTTTATTACATTGAAGTGGTAATTGTTTACCGTTTAGAATAACCCAACTGTTTAAAACTTCCTTTCGTTTTTATAATTTTTTATCTTCAGGGGACGGTCACACCACCAGCAAAATCACAATAAATATGTGATTTTTTGCAAAGCAAATATGGAGGAATCACCTTATCTGCACAGCCCCTACCAGGTGTCTATTGTCGCCACCGACCTGCACCATGAGGACACCATAATCCAAGCAGCCCAGTCTCTGGACTGTCTACACAAAACCATAAATTCAATTTTCGAGCGAATCGATGCTCGCTTGGCGAGAAATGGTTTAAAGGTTGAGGAAATAGACAATCGTGTGAAGCGCGCCCAGGCGAAAATCGATGCGCTTGTTGGCTCCAAGCGGGCCATCCAGATCTTTGCACCCGCTTGTTTTCCGGCCAGCGAAGTCCTGGCTCCGCTTCCAGCCACCTTTCCACAGGTGGTCCTCGACCCACTGATGGAGGAGCAGGTGGAGCAGCAGCCGAACCGGCAATACACCAGTCATAGCCCCTCAGATCAGAAACAGGACGATGCTGACATATTTTTCCACGTACGTGGCGAACGAGAACAAGAGCTGCCTCTGGTCGTCGAACGTAAGATGACTAATCACACTGCTGGTCTTGGAGCCCTTCCTTTAGACGGAGTGCGATCCGTCCCCTCGTTGATGCGCTTCAGCACTAACGAGTTCGCCTACGGCGAGGATCTTAATGCCTGGAAGCGCTCTCTACCACCACAATCTGCCCGCCGTGTTGCCAGTCAGTCATTGAGGCCCACTGCAGATAAACTGCTTGCTCCGGCTCCACATTCGCTGGCCCACGGGACCACTAAACTGGCCACGCCAGCTGGAGACTTACGGTACAATCCCGCTGCCTTGGCTGCTCCCGCTATCGATGTGCCGCTGGATCTGCCCGATCTTCCTGGTATCGCCAATGATCTCCAATATGAGCCTGTAGAGGAGCAGACACCAATTGCGCCTTCCCAGCAGTTCGGCGACTTGCCAGAGCTACCAGATTTAGGTCTCGAGGAGCAGGAAATTACAGTGCAAGCTATCGCGGCACAGACGCACATTCCAGGACCTGCGAGAAAGACAGGTCTGGGTCAGTGTCCATCGCCAGCTATGGCAGCACCGCCGCCTCCACCACCTCCGCCGCCGCCGCCACCACCACCGCCTCCAGAGCAAACAAAGAGGATACCTTCGCCCCCACCCTTTCCCACTAAGGGTGCTGTAAAGCCGCTTTCTCCGTCGCCGTCTACGCCACTAAAAATGCCGCCACCCCCTTCACGCACTGAAGATCCGCGATCTGAGCTTATGGCCGCCATACGAAATGCCGGAGGAGTTCATGGCGGACGTCTGCGGTCACCGGCGGCAGCTCCGCTTGATGTCGTGGATAACACACGCTCTAAGGCGGGAGCCGCTTCCACAGGGGATCTGATGGCGGACCTGCATAATAAGCTAATGCTTCGACGCAAGGGAATCTCTGGAAGCCAGAATCCTGGAGAGGCCACCGCTGCCAATCCACTAATGCAGCAGCTATCCCGCGTTATTCCGCCACCCGTGCAGCCGCGAAAGGGCTCTCAATCCAGCGAAGAGGCACGCTCCGAAGACGATGATGATGTATGGAACTAGTAATGTAGGGGAATCGAAATCTCCTTCATTGATGTAGCTTTAGCACCAAATTAAGTGCCTTGGCTAGCTTTAAGCTCTAGCTTCTCCAGCTTAATTTATACCAATCTTTAGAAAGAATTTGAAATTCTGTTTTCCCAAGCGGGTATGCCAAATTAGGTCAAAGTTAACCAGTTGAATAAAAATAACGGAAAAAACGAAAATTCTTCATTTAAAAAAAAGGAATACCTTTGATAAATATTAATAACAGCACTGTTAACTCTGTTGATTACTTTCAGTGTTGTAAAACATCCATAGCAGAACCACATTTCGGCTAAGAAGTCGGGAGTAAACATATTTTTTAAAATAAGTATTTAAAAGGGAACATACATACCGTTTCGGAAATATTATTAGAGTGAAGGAGTGAGGGAAGGTTTAAAACGCATTCTTGGTAAATCACATATGTATGATGACCAGTCCATCGCGGGATATAAACGAACTATTTGACGACATTGTCCTAACTGAGGAGAAGGAAGCTCGTTTGGGTTACGAGGAGGGACTGAAAGACGGCCAGGAGCAAGGTAACGAAGAAGGCTATAAATTGGGCTACGCCCAGGGAGTATCTCTAGGAGAGGAACTGGGAAGAATTTTCGGTCAAGTAGTAGCCCAGCAGCAACTTCAGCACACGGATAAGGTGCGTCGTAGTCTGCAGCAGATACGTTCGCTTATCGAGGAGTTTCCCCGCACTAACGATCCGCAGGCGGATATAGTAGGGGCTGTGCAGGAAATCCGGTCGTCCCAACGTCGTCTTCGCGCCTTGTTGGGATCCAAGAAAACGTCAGTCGCAACACTTTCAGAACCATCTGCTGTCGAACACAAGCACTACAGTTTTTAGCAGCATGTCTAAAGTGGGTGTTGCCCAATTGCAGACGCGACTTGACGGTTTGCTGGCATTTCTCAATCCTCACTGGGATTTTGTCAATTGTCACATGGTTAATTACTTGACGGACCAACACTGGGAAGGTTTTCTTCCCGAGACATTAAGAAGCGACATATCTGGCAAGGAGAGTGTGGATATGGCTATAGAAAATTTATTTTGGAAAAATGATGAATCAGTAAAAACATTTCTACATTGGAGGCAATTTTTGGATAAGGGCAAGCAACAACACCTTGCGCATCATTCGGAATTGCTGACCAGCGTGGAGAAATTAATAAAGGGACAGGATAACGTAGTTCAGCTTAGCATCCGGGAGTTTATGAGCGCCAAAAAGTGTCACGAGGTATGTTGATTCTCAGGTGAGAAAACTGGTAAACTTTAACAAATTTGATTAGGTGGAACTAACAGCAGCTCTTGTGAACCATCTCATAAAAAACTCATGCCAAGACTGCTACATAGTGGATGCGGGCGATGGTAAAGGTTATTTGTCCTCCCGTCTTGCGCTTCAGTATGGCCATCGCGTGCTGGGCATTGATGCCAACGCGGAAAACTCACAAAACGCCCTAAGCCGCAATCGCAAACTGCAGGTAAGCTGGGATTACAAAATACAATTAGATTTATTTCATTACTTTTATAGACTTATAAGTAAGATAGGTGACCAAGTAGTTAGTCGCGCATTTCGCCCTCCTCATCATCGTCTTCCATGCCCTTAATGTACAGCACATTGTTGCAGCGGATGAGCACCTCGCCGAGATTGCCGGTGACGGAGCCCTCAATCACCTCTTCAGTATTGGCCAGCTGCATGTTCATGTAGCCGTCGACTGACACCAGGAAGCCCTTGTATTCCTGGCCCCACTTGAGTTTCACTAGCACCGGTTTCCCCGTCAGCCCATTAAGGAAAGGTTTAGGGTTGATGGGCATGCCAGCCGACATGATGTTTGTTTGATTTTTGTAGCGTGTTTGGGTAAAAAATAAAACAAGCGTGCAGAAAAGCGCCGGCTTTTCTCGTCTTCAAGAAAGGTGTGACCGCAGCTAGATTGTTGAAATATACCATGTCGAAAAGTAGAATAGCCATAATAAACAGTGTTGGGAATCTATAAACCGACCGCGAAAGTTAAATTCATATTTTTTTTTATTTCAGCGCGCTTGGAATGGTCTTACAGAACGAGCGGAGCTGCAGAGCCAAGGAATCACCCCAAAGAGGCGAGGAAAAAAGTCACCTACGAGAGATTCCACAAAAAGTGTACCTGCTTTGGAAAACTACAAAACTATTGCCAGATTTATAACGACGGAACTCAATTTTGGCTCTCTGCTGGCTGAACATTTCCAACAGCTACCGCAAGAACGGAATCCCAACATTTGCTTGACTGGATTGCACACCTGTGGTAATCTGGCCGCCACCTGCTTGCAAGTGTATCATGCCCAAAAAGACTGCCGATTACTCTGTAACATTGGCTGCTGTTATCATTTATTGAAAGAACGCTACTCAAAACAAGAATTCTTTGGCAACAAGGCCGTGATGGACATGCAAACGGACTACGGATTCCCTTTGAGTCAGTATCTACAAAAGCGACAAGTGCGAATGGGTCGCAATGCCCGGATGCTTGCGGCCCAGTCAATCGAACGAACTTTGGATTCCAAGGAGCTACCAAATGTAACGCTCTATTACCGAGCTCTTTTGGAGGTCCTGGTTTGTCGACATGCTCCGCAGCTGAAGAATGAACTGCAGGTCGGCAAGATGCGCAAAATCGAAAACTTCCAGGAATACATTCAAAAATGTGCCACAAAATTAGATGCTCCTTGGTTGGCCGCTATCACGGCGGACGAACTTAATTCCCTGCTCCACGAATTTTCATTGGATAAGCATTATTTGGACCTTTTCTATCTCATGCGAATGTCCTTCGCTCCGATCCTAGAGAGTTTGATCCTTCTCGACCGGATGCTCTACCTTAAGGAACTTGGCTATGAACACAGCTATCTTATAGATTTATTTGATCCCGTCATATCTCCCAGGCATTTCGCAATCATTTCTATTAAGCCTCTGACGTAATGATGTTCATATAATAATGCATAAAAAATTTGACAGGGAAAGTCTTTTCTGGGTAATAGTTAATTAATGAATTAATGAATTAATTAATTTTTAAACAGTTTACATTTGATGATGATGATGAAAGTCTCCGCCTAAACATATTTATAAATTTAAAAAAAAACCTGAAAACAGAAAATAAAATGATTTTAAAGTAAATAAGTATTTTTACTATTAAATCACCTGAAAAGGGAATTCTATTGGGTAATTTTGTTTAATTTGTTTGTTTCAATAGAATGCTTCTTCTTAATTCGCCATCATTAAATGATAAATGTAATCTTGAGTTGGTATTATATAAGATCAGGTTTGTTTTCCTCCTGGCCCTCGTTTCTTTCGCTCGGTTTCCACCACAAAGGTGAATATACTCGTACCTGAAATCGTTATCACAAGACTTTTGAGATGTATAAAAATGCGAACACAATTTCAAATCGCTTTGAGTGCGGTGCAAAAAGCTTTAATTGTCGGTTGTGTGCTCGGGAGCTCAGACTTAATAGATCAATATTTCCTTGAAATTTGTGGAAAAACTGGTTGCCAAATAGGCCAATTGCATATAAGGTGTGAAAAAGTTAATACTAGTGCTTAAAAAGAAGTGAATTTTCGATGTTTTCAATTGCTTTTAGTTGGAAGGATACTCTTTGATTAATATCTTAAAGGACATTTTAAAATACTTTTAAAAATACAAACTGAAATCGCACTTTCCTGTTTTGGTTAAGGTTGGGAATAATTAACAACTTTTGTATCAGACACTGCATTTATTTATGAATAAAAGTCTTGTAATAAACATAATAACCAGCTATCTAAATGCTTTTAAGTGTGTCAAGTATATTTCAAATTGTGATTGTAATTCGCCTTATCTGCAACAATTGTATAGAATCTGTAAATATTTTCTTACTTAAATGTAAAAGATAAGCCTGGTAAAAAATAGCTATCAAGTCTAAGTTCAATTTAATTAAAGCAAATAAACTTAATGTACTTTATATTACTTCTAATTGAGATGAGATAACGCAGACCACTGTGTAGACACATAGTTTAATTAACAAAGGACTGATTACAGATTCCAATACATCTTTGCACAGAAAATGGTGTTGACGGAAGTCCTTTTTCTGGTGGTTGCCGCCCTAGTAGCACTGTACACGTGGTTTCAGCGAAACCACAGCTATTGGCAGCGAAAGGGCATACCGTATGTACCACCCACACCGATAATAGGAAACACAAAGGTAGTCTTTAAGTTGGAAAATTCCTTCGGCATGCACCTGTCGGAGATCTACAATGATCCTAGTGTTAAGGACGAAGCCGTGGTAGGGATTTATTCCCTTAATAAACCTGGATTGATTATTCGTGATATAGATCTGATCAAATCCGTTTTGATCAAGGACTTTAATCGGTTTCACAATCGTTATGCTCGCTGTGATCCGCATCGCGATCCCTTGGGCTATAATAATCTGTTCTTCGTGAGGGATACCCATTGGAAGGACATTCGCACCAAACTCACGCCCGTTTTTACTAGTGGAAAGGTTAAGCAGATGTATACTCTGATGCAAGAGGTAAGAATATTATAAACATTTTAAATTTAAAGAAATATGTATACATATGTACATATTTTCTATTCAGATTGGCAACGATCTGGAGGCAGCTCTCGAAAGACATGGGGAGAACAGCTCTGGCAAGTATATCACCGAAATCAAGGAGATCTGCGCCCAGTTCTCTACGGACAGCATAGCCACAATTGCCTTTGGTATCCGTGCTAACAGCCTTCAGAATCCTAACGCCGAGTTCCGTAACTACGGACGCAAGCTTTTTACTTTTACTATATCACGTGCCAAAGACTTTTTCGTGGCCTTTTTCCTACCCAAGCTGGTATCCCTAATGCGCATCCAGTTCTTCACACCAGACTTTGCACAATTCATGCGAAGTACTATTGGTCATGTGATGCAGGAAAGGGAGCGAACGGGCTTGCTTCGTAATGATCTGATTGATGTTTTGGTGGGCCTACGTAAAGAGGCGGCTGCAGAGCCTTCGAAACCTCATTATGCCAGAAACCATGACTTCCTAGTGGCTCAGGCGGGTGTATTCTTCACGGCAGGTTTCGAGACTTCCTCCTCGACGATGTCCTTTGCTTTGTACGAGCTGGCCAAACATCCCGAGATGCAGAAACGTTTGCGCCAGGAGATTAACGAAGCATTGTTGGAAGAGGGTGGAACATTATCCTACGAGAAGATTCAGTCCTTAGAGTACTTGGCCATGGTGGTGGATGAGGTGCTGCGCATGTATCCGGTATTGCCGTTTTTAGACCGCGAGTATGAGAGTGTGAAGGGACAGCCGGATCTAAACCTAAAGCCGTTTTATGATTATACTTTTGAGAATGGAACTCCTGTATTTATACCAGTTTACGCATTACAGCATGATCCAAAGGTATAATTTTGAACTTACAGATGTAACTATATATATGACCTCCAGTAACCTTTTTTAAACCTTAGTACTGGCAAAATCCCAGCCAATTTGATCCGGAGCGCTTCTCTCCCGAGAACCGCAAGTCCATCGTAGCCATGGCATATCAGCCTTTCGGATCCGGGCCCCACAACTGTATTGGCAGTAGAATTGGACTCCTTCAGAGTAAACTAGGACTTGTTAGCCTGCTAAAGAATCACTCGGTAAGAAGCTGCGATGCTACCATGAAGGAGATGAAGTTCGATCCCAAGGGTTTTGTGCTGCAGGCCGAGGGTGGCATCCACCTGGAAATCGTCAACGATCGCCTCTATGAGGAGAGCGTGGCACACGTCCAATGAATAAACAATATGATTCAACGAACTATAGTATATATTTTTAAAGTGATTAGCTGACAAGGTAATCGCATTTTGACAGCTTTCATTTGATAAACTTGTAACGTACATTATACAATTCTCCGTGTCAGAAGCGGCGCCTAGTCTACTGAATAAAAACAAAATCATTATCAAATTACATTTAATCTTGGGGGCAGGGAAGCTATAAAATTGCGCCACCAATAAATACCTTTAATCTACTTGATTAAAATCAAATGCAAATGCATTTCAAAAATGTAACAATAACGTAATGATGTATTTAACTAAAAACAAAGTGAGTTTAGATAGATCAGTGAATACGTAATGTCGATATGTGTAAGTACCCCAGAATGACAAAAATATATGTACATATATATGATTGAACATTCAGCTATAGACTTTTCATCTTATTGCTACGCTGAGAAAACACGCAATTTGTCAATCAAACTGCCTATAAGATGCGACACCAACTTAATTTTTAATGCCAAAACACGCGATTGTACGGCTTAGTTATCGTTCAGTTGTTGTAGGCTGCATTACTCCCAAAGAAACTCCAAAAAAAAAATCAGGTGAGCTAGACCCCCAAGGGATCCCGGACCAATCTTAGAGGGATACCTCCCTTGGCTTGTGTAATAATTGCCTTGGGATCCAATTGCATGCGGTGTGGAGTGCGTTCGGATGTGGTTATCATGTGGTTGCGCAGCAGATAAACTAGACCCACTTTTGCCTGGAGGAGTCCAAATCGTTCTCCGATGCATCCATGTGGACCAAGACCAAACGGCATGTAGGTGTAGGGCGTATGGAGCTTGCGATTTTCAGGGGAGAATCTTTCCGGCAGAAACTTACGAGGTTGTGGAAAGTACTAATCATATAAAAAATTTAATGAAGTTAGTAAACGCTAGGAAATACTGCCAACTCACCAGGGGATCCATGTGGAGGGCATAGCAGGGTATGTAAACAGGCATTCCTTTAGGAACGACGAAGTTGTGGAATGGAGCCAGTGTGTAATCTTTCTCAGAAGTACATTCCCGATCCAAAAACGGCAACGGGGGGTACATGCGCAGAACCTCTAGAAGGACCATCTGCATAAACTCCAGCGACTCAATCATTGTGAGCGTAACCTGCCCACCACTATCTACTAGTGCATCCTTGATTTCCTCCCTTAAACGCTGTTGTACATCAGCATCTTTGGCCAATTCGTACATGGCAAATGCCATTGAGGATGAGGATGACTCGAAACCAGCAGTAAAGAATAATACCGCCTGGGCCACTAGGATATCTCCCTCGAAAACAAACTGATCTTTAATCCCCGATGCCTTCGCCTGCTGTGTGCTCCTACGGAACTCAATAAGGATGTCGATCAGATCGTTGCGTTTCTGTCCAGATTGCTCCCTTTCTGACATCACATAGTTGATGGTATTGCGCAGAAAATGGGTAGCTTCCTTTGGAACTACCTTGAATCCGAAAAATGGAACCAGATGGGGCAGGAAAAACACCATGGTGAACTCCGCCGCACGCAGAAGGCTGAACTCGAATACTGATCGTCCATGTCGCCGAAACTCGCTATTGGGATCCGTAAAACTGTTTGCTTTTATTCCATACGCCACGGTGGCTATCACATCCGTGGTGAACAGGGCACACAGCTCCTTGGCCTCCAAGTCAAAGCAGCGCATTCGCTCGTTGTGCAGAGGTTGCTGGCGAAGATGAGCATCCAAGCTGGCTCCGACTTCCTCGATAAGCGGAAACATCTGCTTCAATCGATTACCGGTGAAAAACGGCGATAGCTTATAACGGACTTCCTTCCATGCGGGGTTCTTGAGGAAGAAGATATTTTGGGATCCCAGAGGATCAGCCTTATGATCAGAGTTCGAGTACCGATTGGAAAATCCACTAAAATCTTTGATAAGGATATGCTTAACCATTTCGGGATCTCTGAGGAGAATTGCCGGTTTGTGGAACACATGTATTCCAACGAAGGGTTCGTTCTCGGCCTCAGGGTGGTTATATAGCTGAGATATAAACTCTGCAGGACTTTTATGCATGTTTAGCAGTCCCATTAGATTTCCCACTATCCATTTGGGCTTGATCTCACGTATTCCCATTCGCCGCCAATATGAGTAATGTTTCTGTAAGGCTAAAGCGGCGATGACCAGGAGGAATACCAGAAGGATCAGCAGTCCCAGAGCCATGTTTCCGCTTTGAAACCAAACTTTCTAATGGCGTAAAATGAGTCAATTCAACTTAGTTTAAGCTCTGGGTGAGCTGACACTTCATTGTGGGATCATCAAGATGGTCCTGAGTTCTGAATGAATCGTATTTGTTAATGGAACTACATGTTCTTTGTTATTTAAAGTGGTTTGTGTTCTGATCATATGTACATATGTAAATGTGTTTAAGGCCATGAACAAGGTTTTTCGATTTATAAATAGGCAATGTAACAACGTTTTTTGGCGTAATATTTTATTATAATTTCCCGAAACTGTAATCCGTAGTTATTTATATCTTTAAATCCATTTTCTTCTTAGGTACCATGTTGCTCCTCTGGTTGGTGCTCCTTACATTTCTGGTTTTAAAAATCTGGCTGAGGAAGAAGTACACCTACTTCAGGAGGTATGGGATCCCGTACCTACCCACCTCCTCCTGGTCGCCGATGGGCAATTTAGGCCAACTTCTATTCCTGCGTATTTCTTTTGGTGATCTTTTTCGACAGCTGTACGCAGATCCCCGTGGTGGCCATGCAAAAGTAGTGGGCTTCTTTATCTTTCAAACGCCGGCTCTGTTGGTTCGAGATCCAGAGCTAATACGCCAAATATTGGTTAAAAACTTTAACAGCTTTCTTAATCGTTACGAATCGGCAGATATGGGTGATTCTATGGGTGCATTGACCCTACCATTGGCGAAGTACCACCACTGGAAAGAGAGTCGACAGTGCATGTCGCAGTTATTTACTAGTGGTCGCATGCGGGACGTAATGTATCCCCAGATGTGTAATGTTGCTATCGACCTAGAGAACTACCTCAATAGAAAGCTTAAAGACCAGACAGAACGTGTTCTCCCGTTGGGAAGAATGTGTCAGTTGTACACCACCGATGTTACAGGAAATCTCTTCTACAGCCTGGATGTGGGCGGATTGCGTAGAGGCTGTTCTCAGCTACTAAAGAAAACCAAAGAATTATTTAAAACCGATCCCCGCAAGGTTTTAGATTTTATGATCGTGTTCTTTCTACCAAAGTGGACGAATCTAATGAAGCCAAAAGTTTTCAGCGAAGACTATGCGCAATATATGAGAAACTTGGTAGAGGAGCATCAGGAGCCCAAAAAGGGTGATCTCATCAATCAACTGCAGCATTTCCAGCTCACCCGTTCCTCTAACCATTATTCCCAGCATCCGGACTTTATAGCATCTCAGGCTGGAATTATTCTTTTGGCCGGATTTGAAACCTCGTCAGCCCTATTGGGTTTTACTCTTTACGAGCTGGCTAAAGCACCAAATATCCAAGACCGACTGAGAAGGGAGCTATGTGAAGCTTTTATCTCATCCACTTTACTTAGCTATGATACACTGATGGCATTACCATATCTTAAAATGGTATGCTTGGAGATACTTCGTCTGTACCCAGCTGCTGCTTTTGTTAATAGAGAATGTACAAGTCCGGAATCCGAAGGATTTAATTTGCATCCTCATGTGGATTTCGTTGTACCACCTGGGATGCCAGCCTACATATCTATTTTAGGCTTGCACCGTGATGAAAAGGTATGATACAAATCTTAGTGACTTATTATTAAATCGATCAATACAATCCAAATTTCAGTACTGGCCCGAGCCCAACCGCTTCGATCCTGAGAGGTTTGCTCCGGAGCGGTTAAAGGATATTATTCCCATGACCTATATACCCTTTGGAGCTGGTCCTCATGGCTGCATTGGTAGTCGTTTGGGTATTCTACAACTGAAACTGGGCATAGCCCACATTTTAAAACTATATTGGGTTGAAATTTGCAAGCGAACCATACCAGAGATTCGCTTTAATCCAAAGTCGTTCATGCTGGAGTCTAAGAACGAGATATACTTAAGATTTTGCAGGGATACTTTATAGTTATAAGTATTCGAAAACAGCGGCTGTGACTCCAACGCAAAGACATTTGTACACCACAAAACGAAAAAAACAGTATTTATAATATTTAATTAAGTTATGTACATATAAGTATGTATACGAGTATGGTGTCTTAAGCTCCCATTCAATAAATCACAATAAAAATCAATCTTCCTTTAAAATACATTAAAAGTTCAGCCAAAATGAGTTCTTTTTATTTCCACACTTACCCCCTTTTGAAAAACCTAGCCAAGGCAGGTTTTTTGGCCACATATAAATGAAATCCTTACTTATCTACGACTTAATTCCCTGGCTTCAACTTGCTCAGCTTTTCTTCTATGTCCTTAATGCGACAGCGGATTTCAGGTGCCGAATCACGTTGAAACTTTTCCAAATTCGATTCAAAGCTCTGCTTAATCAGATTCAATGGCTGCTGGTTGTTGGCTCCACTCAATCGTTTGATCAGCATAAGGACAATGTTTAGAGCCTCCTTTTTCAGGCCTGAATGAGGGACTCCGGCGGCCAGAGCTACTGCCGCCAAAACATCCTTGCAGATCTTTTCGACAATTTCCTCACGAGTTTTGGGTCCTGGAGCGTCTGTCTTGATTTTCTTCTCCTGATTTATCTGTGGAAGGTCGGGCAGCTGAGCGGACTCATCGAAGACATGCAGCCTTTCAATGTACTTTGTGAGTGCTGCCAGAAGACTGACCTGCACTGGTCGAGTGCTTTCAGCCAGAATGCTGGTGCAGTTCTCGGCAAAAAAGAGTTGGTAGCGATGTTGTGTCTCGATTGAGTGACGTGGCCAAGATTTACCCAATGTCTCCCATACAACCTCCTTTAGTCGGTTTAGAGTTTGAGCCCTCTTGTTGCGTTCGTCGGCGGTCAGTTCCTGACTAGTGCTTGGCTCGTCCTCGTCGTCGGACTCCTTATGCAACTCTTTTTTTTCCAGCAGGTTCCAGCTCATATTGTACACTTCCTCAAAGCGATCGGCCTCCAGTTGATCGAGGATTTCGCCTAGAGCAGCAAGGGCCATGGTTCGATAAACGGGTTCCCGTTTCCTTGCCTCTCTCATGGCTGCGTCAATAATGCTGGGGCAGATTTGGTGGCTTCGATCTAATCCTTTTGTGAGTCCGGCCAGAGCTTGCAACAGACGCTCCTTACCCTCGAAAGTCCGACCTTGGAGGCCGCAAAGGAGCAATTTAATGAGTCTAACACGGTCGGGTTCCTCCAGGGAGCTGCTTAGGCGAGTTGCTATCGTCTGAATAGCATTCGCTGCCTGCGCCTTTCGAGACCAACTTGCATCGGTAAGAGATGTCTCTAATTTGGGTATGATCACATTTAAATTGAGGCGGATGCCTGCATCCCCTGGGCTTACATCGTTCCACAAATCCTTCCACAGCTCAACATTAGCCTTTGTCTCTTCAGTCGACTCTTCATGCATGGCAAAGAAGATCAGCGGCACCATGCTGTCCATGTAATCTTTGAGTAATTCATGATGGCGCTTGTTAATGGACTGAATAGTCAATGCAATAGACCGATTTCCTGGCTGTTCGGAATATAGTTCGTCCAGTTTAGCGAACAGACTCTTGATTGACTGCTCCTTGGCCAAACCCAATAGATGGCCAATTGCACTGGCGTTGTACTTGCGCACGGTGGCATTACGATCCTTGATGCCCACAAAGCAGGCGCGAATATACTTTCCTACCACTGGCGTCATCTCCTTGCCTAAACGGATGCTAATCTGTAATGATATCGATGCGATAAGCGAAATATATCTTAATGATTGTACTTTAACATACCAGACACACAAAATGCGCACAGCCAATCTTGGTTCCGAGATTTACACTAGACTTCATTAGCTCCAAAACTTCGGGCGTCATCTTTTCCAGGACAGGATAATCGATATAGCGTACGCACTTCCCAATAGTTTCCATTGTATGGTGGGATTTGGCGGCTTCCGCACGAAGTGTATCTACCGCCTCCTGGGCCTCGTTGTCTGCTCCTAGGCGAGTTGATACGTAGGACAGCTTAGTATTCTCCAACTCGCCAGTAGCCCGTAGTAGGCAGGGAATTAGGGTCACCAGATGTGGAGCGATAAGTGCACCGGAAGAGTCAATCATGTCGGATATGGTCTTAATGCTGACATTGCGTATCTCCGCTACCTTGTGACCCACCCCTGTTTCCAAAAGGTATGGGAGAGTCGAGGAAGCTACCGCTGTGCCTGATTTACCATGATCCGAGGAGGAGGCGATGACACACAGCTTGCCTAGGAATGAGGCAGTCCCATGAGCAGCATTTCTTGTGCCCTCATGAATGTCATCCATTACGCGAAAGAGTTGGAACCACAGCTCTTTCAGCTCAGGTTCGGGCACCTCATCCACTTCCATGCTGTTCACGGCAGGAGCCCGACGAACCAGTTCCTCCGAACGAAGCTTAAGCCCGTTGGGACGCTTTAAGAGATCCCTGACTGCCAGGCAGCATGCAATGCGCACTCGCCATTCCTTGCAAGTTAGATTGTCCAGAAGCTCTCGCAATATTTCCCAATAGTAACGCTCGGTCACTTCTTTCGAGTCACTCACAATTGTGTCCCAAATGGAAATCATGGAGTTCTGGATCTTAGGAGTGGGATCATACTTGTAGCGATATAGGCGTGGTATAATTCTTCCCAGATAAGGTTGCATCTTCTGCCTGGACTCAGCGGAAAGGGTTTTTAATCCAAAAGCAGCTCCCAGTTTGCTGGTCCAGGTGGCATTATGATTGGCCAGTTGCATGAACTGGTAGATCATATCCGGCTGATTGAGATCTGACGCTAGAGAGCACAGCTCCTTATAGGTTGTGATGTTACCTCCTGTCGGCGTTTTGCCAAGCATTCCTTCCGCAAAGAGTTCAGTGTCTGCCGAGACCTGATTAACCTTTCGTTTACCTCCAATTAGCTGGTCTAAAAGAGAATTAGCCAAATCACTCTGACTGCCAGAATCCGATAGCGAGTAGACCAGCCCCAAGCCGCGGGAAGCAACATCTTGTACAAATTCTGCAAATATAAAATTCAAATTGTGTACACTGACAGAAAAGTTGAAAATGGTGTAACCTACCGCTATCATCAGAAAGGAGTTCGGTGAAAGCGAACTGTAACAGTTCTTTTTTGGCCAACACTGCTGGGCGGTGGCTACAGTGCTTTACCACGGCTAGCAGCCACACGGATATCGCCTGGCGGGAATGCGGATTGGGCTCGGTGACTAAACGTATTAGAGAGTTCAGGAATTGCTCAAAGTCGACATCGTTGCAGTGTTTGTTAACAAATTTCTCATCAGGTTGCCCCTTATTCACATCATACCCACAGAGAGTGTTAACAATCGCTTCCGAGATGGCTATATTTAAAGCAGCATCCTTTTGCACCTTGGCCAGGGTAAGAAACTTTTCCAGGTTGCGTTTGGTAAAATGCTCGCCATCGCCAATGGACAGGTATCCCAGACACCTGGCAGACTCCTCGCGAATCTTTTGACGCGCTGACGAGCTGCGCAACAACTGAAAGACAACCCCAAAAATGACCAACTTGGTAGAGGAATCTATGCTCGTATACTCGGTCATCTCCTCGTCGTCGTCTCCATCGTTGGACGGAACCTGGATCTCCACCGAGACATTTGGTATCTCCACAGCCTTGCCGATCATGGAGATACATTTTACAGCTGCCGAAACGAGCAGCCATTGGGACTCACAAAGTGTTTTTGCTAGATTAAAATAAATTTTTAAGATAATTTTGATAAACTCACAAGAGAGGTACACTTACAGATTATTTTTACCGCATTAACAAACTGCGGCCAAGCTGAAAAGTCCTTTGATTTCTGCTGTTGTTTGAGCATAGCAATCTTCCGATTAAATGTATGACCGACCACAAGAAGCCAACCGTGCTTGTGCTCAAGTGTCTTTTGTGTAAGGCTTTTTAAGCATTCCCCTACTTCCTCGTCGAACTTCTCGTCGGACAAGCCGAAAGCCCAAAGAATAGCGTAAACTTGAGCCACATTGATGCGCATATTCTCGGATACATCTTTTAGGGTGTTGCCAAGAGGCTCCAGAAGATGAAGCTGCTTAGCAGCAAATAGTTCCGGAGCGGCGTTCAGCAGATCATAAAGGCAGATGAGATTGGATTCACCTGAAAAAGGAAAAAATCTTTAAATGATTCTATTCCAAATCCTTTGCTCACATACTTCTCTTGGCTTCTACACTGCGCTGAACAAACTGCACGTATTGATGCAAGGCATTTTCCTCCTCCTCTTCGTAATGCAAAGTGATGTATTTGCGTAGTTCATGGGTGTACTTTTCATCGCCGGGAGCTGCTACAACGCCAGCCGAATACCACAGACACAAACGCAGATAATCAAGAATCTCCTCGTACACCTCTAGACTGTAGGGCAGCTTTGTACGTCCTACTACCACACAGGATGTGTTCTTTTTTAGCCGTTTGTTAGCCATATCATGGACATGCGACATTATCACCTGGAAGCTTGGAAGTACCACTCGACGCTGTTCTAATGACAAGTGGTTGAAGTCACTAATGGATTCGCTGTTTATGCGATTTTCTGCCTGCTCGATAGAAGATACCATATTATAGTTAACATGATCTTTTTTCGAGGTTCCGTATAAATAAGTTGTGACATTTTCGCGCAGGGAATTGCTAGGGGAAACAAATTATAATTTATCTATTTAAATATAAACTGAAACTTATAAACAACTCACCGCTCTCCGGCTATGAGCAGCAACAGATATCGGGCTGGTGCATAGTACTCAGGATAACAGCTAGTGAGGAAAACGCTAGTCACATTCTGTACGATCTGCACCTTGGACTCCGCATTGTCCAGTAGCATGGCCAAAAGAAGATGCTGTTGGCCATCCAATTTTACGGCAGAAGGATCGGTATCTTCATCCACCTCCATTGCATCGCTCTTCTCTTTTGTTTTCCAGGCAAAAGCTGGAGCCATTGAAACTAATGCTTCCCTTATTGATGAATGCAATTCCGGTGCACAGCTAGCTAGGTTATTGAAGTATCCTAGAACCAACTTTAAATCCTGGCTAACGTCCTGGGGAAAACTGCGAGCATGTTGCGCCAGAGCGGAATACGCCGCATTTTGTACATCATTCGGTTCGGTAGAGTCGCGCCCAATGACTTTGGTGATGCCGGTAAGTATTACCCGAGATACCTTTGAGACCAATTCCCGAGGACCACTAAGAGAAAATAAATTTAATCAATGTTTTAGCTTGCTAATACAAATAAACTTACTCTCTGAGGACTAGTTCCACAAACTGCAGCGCCAGAACCTTGCATTTCTGATTAGTGTTTGTCCCAAACAAGCCATCAAAGATCACCTGTAGTCCCTTTGTTACGTTGATGCTCTTTCCACGGCACTTAATGAGGTACTGCAGCAACTTTTGACGCACTCGAGCGCAGCAGGGACGCGTCTGGCGGTCAATCAACTTGTTTTGGTTGCCGGCAAACAAAGTGTACAAAGGAGCGGTAACCGCGGGGCTGTTAAAATCAAGCATGGTACAGAGTTTGCTTAACTCCGCGATTGCTGGAGTGGCCACGCTGAAGCGTGTATCCGCCGATGCCACCACAAGAGGTACGAAAATCTGCACATCACTGAAGACACTGCCGCATAAAAATCGAACTATGCCTTTTTTGACTTTTTCAAGTTCTTCGGCCCGCCAATTGTTGGCAATAATGCGCTTAAAACTATAGGTGCTGAGTCCCGGTGGAACATCCTGATCTTGGGTGATACCGTAAGGCAGGAGAAGCACATCCTGAAGCAGGGCCAAAAAGTTTGCACTGATGACAGGTTTTTCTTGGAGATCTAGTAGCTTCGACCGCTGTGCCGGATCATCGGGTATCTTCATTTCGGACAGTATGGGCAGCAGCAGCGCGAACAACTTGTCCTGATAGCTCTCCAATTTATTCTCGCAGCCCACCACTTTGCTAGCTAGCCCAGCCTGTTGCTCCAGTGGCAGACGCGGAAAGCCCATGGCGATGAATATGATGGCAAAGTTCTTAAGGAAGGTACTGCTGTCCTCGGCGGCATACTGATCTAACAGTGCCTCCACGGGTATTTGAACCTGTCCCCGCGACGAGAGGCGCCTTTTAATGTGGGTAAGCACTTCGACAACCTAAACGAAAAGTGCATTAGTCAACCGGCAAATTTTGCAGAGTCACGATTCGAAAAAGGGGTAGGAAACCCCCAGCTGGTCAATGTTTTGTCATCTACTTGCCTTCGTTCGAACTGCATTATGGGGGGAGTTCATTTTAAGGATAACTGGGGCAAGGAACTTGCCCACAGTGGCACCCAGTTTCTCATCCGAGTCCGCATTTCCCAGACGCAACAGGACGCGCTCTAGAAGCTCTGAAGGAAGGGGTGGAAGATTAGTTTTTATAAAATATTTTCTGCTAACGCATCCTTTATTTTTCTCGCTTTTTTGATTGCAGATTTTACATTCGAATTGACCTATAAAGATCAGATAATAATTTTACCAATTTCTGCATTTGGTCCAGTTTCCATTTTTTATTTTTGTTGCTATGTTTCAGTGTTACCAGCTGGTTTTCGGACAATAGCACCAAAAACTTTTGGCAGTCATATTAAAAAGCTTAGCAACACTTAAAAGTATGTTTTGAAGCCGCCAAATTTAAACAATTCCATTCTATTGAAAGTTGCAACCACCAGATATTTTTCCCAAAATAATCATACAATAACATTTTTTAATAGTCATTTTTATTTGAGAAAATCATATTAGAAAGTAAATTAATATAACGAAATACATTAATTTGATGTCGTCGTGAGTTGAAGAGTTCTGTAAATATAAAGAATACAACACATTAGTAAGGGATTATTAGACTGGAGCTAATTAACATTTCCTTTAATAAATTTCAGTATTCTCACTTTGTGAGAAGAGTCAAGGTTCTTCAGCAATTTGTTTTATGAAGACCGTCATGATTTTATCATCAGAATGAAAATTTAAGATGTTTTTTAAAATAAATTCATTAATACACACCTTTTAGAGGAATTCCTTGTTGGCGTCTGCTGAAATCCTGTGGAAACTAAAAGAAACTGTGGAAAACCAAGGATTAAAGTTACTTTTTTTTTGTTTTATTCAAAAAGAATAATTGCTACAAATATTATCGCCCGAATGGTAGTTGTCCGCTCTAGTACTTCTTGAAGCTCTTCTTGGATCCCTGACCCTTGCTGACTTTCAGGACGTTGAAGCGCACAGTCTTGGACAGAGGACGGCACTCACCAATGGTGACAATATCGCCGTGCTCAACATCTCTGCAAGTAAAGATTAGGAATGAATTAGAATTGTCTAAAATAACTTATAAAAGGTAGCTCAAAGGCTTAATTTCAGTATTTTTACATTTAGTAAAAAGAGTCAAGTTCTTTCAGCAATTTGTTTTATGAAGACCGTCATGATTTTATCATCAGAGTATGATTGTTAGTTACAGTTTTAACAACTTCAAATGTTTAGCAAAACATTAATTTGTTAAATCGGCTTTATAGTGATATTTAAAATGTTTACCTGAAAACAGGCGAGCAGTGGACACTCATGTTGCGATGACGCTTCTCGAAACGACTGTATTTCCGCACAAAGTGCAGGTAGTCACGGCGAATAACAATGGTACGCTGCATCTTAGCCTTGCGGACCACGCCAGTCAGGATGCGACCACGGATCCTCACATCACCGGTCCAGGGGCACTTCTTGTCGATGTAGGTGCCTTCGATGGCCTATATTATGGAGGACAGTAATGTATTAGCTGGGGAATTATAAGATTTCCAAAAGGACTATTTCTCCTGGGCATCACCTCACGGGGGGTCTTGAAACCGAGTCCGACATCGCGAGAGCGGCGCAGCAGCTTCTTCTTGGTGATGCCGGGCTTGACCTTACGGTTTAGGTTGACACCGAATTGTTTTTGGAAGGCGCGCTCGTTCTGGTTAGTTAGTCGGGATCGTGTGGAGAGTACAGGGTGTTTGGGATGGTGTCATTTCGGCAGGCAGGCGGGAACATTCAGCGTGCGTGGGAATGAAATGGAAACAAACGAAGGGGGCGCAACATTAGTCGTGGTTTGTTCGGGATCCGCTTACCTCCGCCGGAGCCCGGAAACCCAGGCCAATTTGACGGTAGAAACGAGGTCTTTTCTTCATATTGACATTCTTGCGACGCACAACGACAACAGCATGTTGTTTGCGGAACGCGCGTTCAGTTTGCTGCAATATACATTTCGTGTTCACTATTGGCGACACCATGCGCTAAAGTGGGGTTAGGGCGAGGTTGGTTTGAGTTTTGGCTTCTATGGAGTTTCCTCGCTCCGTCACGAATTGGTCCACTCATATCTCACTTACAAGTCCTCGGGCAACATGTTTTGTGTCTCCATCCGCCGTTTAACGCGCGTATTTCATTTATTAAGCACAATCTCGTGGAATCTTACCTGATCAGCCATGTTGATGAAAAAGGAAAGAACGATTCAGAGTGACCGTTCGCCGATGGCGCTGCAAGTGAGACCCTCGCATACCATTGCCAAAATACCAACATAACAAATAAAAATGGCTGGAATTCAGCAACTCCTCAATGTATGGAACATTCTGGTCATTCAAATCATCTGTAAACGATTTTGAATTTGAAAATAATAAAAAATAATAAAAATATACAAATTAAAGAAAATATACGGAAAATTTAAGTTAATATTTCTTCCTATTTTAAATGATATTATAAAACAATTTTTAAAAGTCCAATTGTTGAAAAGTTCAGTAAGACCCTTCAATGGATTATCCATCCCTGATTTGCAGTACTCACTCATGGTAATGGTAGAAAGCTTCGCTAAAAATACAACAGAAATTCCAAAAGATGGAGCCCTTGTGCCAATACATGGGCGTTAACTGTTTGAATATTTTATTTGGCGCACTTGAATTTGCATATCTGCTGATTCAGATAGTTTGTTGCTGCTATTGACCTTCATCTTAGCTGACATTGACTAAAACTATTCAGCCATAGCCAAGCAATGTTTTTCTCAAGCACCACTCAAGTAATGTTCCATGCCAAAAATGCCTTTGTGCATGCATTTTGTAGTTTTTCTTTTAGTGGCCACACAAACTCGCGGCATTTAAGGCAAATGCCTCTTGCGCTAATTCTCCACATGCCCTGCGAATACGTCGGATTAAAAATAATGACAACATAAACGAGTGCCAGGAGAGCGGCCTTGAAATGCCTCCCACTTTCAAGGCAGTATCTGCAGCTAAGGCAGCCGTTACAGCTGCTATAAATCCGTTTACGGCTAAACGTCACGGATGGAGAAAGAGGAGGCTGCTTTTGCTGGTGCTCTGCCTGAATTTCATTGCCATTGTTAATGCAGCTGTCTGCAGCATAAAATTGCGGCAAACGTTGCTGCAGCTGCTGCTACTGCTGCTTCTGCTTCTGCTGCTGTTGCTGATGACCTTAACCTGCAAAAAGGGGTTGTGAGAGGGTGGATGGCTGCATTAGGCGTGGCATGCGTGTGAAGCTGGCGAAGGTTTTCCCAGTCGGCCTTTCGGTACGCTCGGCAATTTCACCTTGCCGAGCTCAGTGACGGCAATGAAATCCCTTTACTATCCCTTAGCCGCCACTCTCCACGCCTCTTTCAAGGCCATAACCATGGCCCACGTTTCCCGTTTGGAAATTCCTCAGGTAACTGAAATTGGAGATGGTTACTGGTTACTGGTTATACCGCCTTATGTGCCCAGAACATCATTCGGTATTATCGATTAAATAAGCCCCGGGACATCATAAACAGCAGTAACAAAGTTTACAACTTTTTCGCTTTTGTTTCCCTCGGTTATTATTATGATTTTCATGCTCATTGCCATTACGGCTCTGGTGTTACTGCTGTTTGCCCGGGCAAATGAAAAAACTTTTACGAACTGCCAAAGTTCTCCCAGTCAACAGTTTAAAATCGATGCTGGCATACTCGTACATGTTCTGCCGTCGAAATTCAATAATTTGCACTACCATTGGGACAATGAAAAGTTTTTTTTTTATTTTAGCTAAGCTGAGAAACAACAAAACTTAACCTATTTAGTACCATTTTCCGTTGGAGCTATTGATTTTGAGTAACCTTAACTTCCGCATTTCTCCCATACACCACTTTTCCACTTCTCCTCCTTTCAAGATTTCCAATGCCTTTATTTTAGATTTAAAATCGTTTAAAATATCCATAAAGCTAAAAACTTAGCCCTGAATTGACTTTAAACTTATAAAAGTTCTAGCCGTATAAAGTCGAATGTAAAAACATTGTTGAGCCCTTTAAAGTTAGCGCCCAACTTTTCGTTGTTGCCCTCAAATTAAGAAAATAATTTCCATGCTGACGGGAAGGGACAAAGAGCGCAAAGATAACGGCATCAAGTGCGCAGCTTAACGGTACATTAGGTAAACAGTGTTGTCAACTTGTCCTGCAGGAGTGTTGGTACTACGGGGTTTGGTCTATGCTTTAGTATGGGTTCTACAACAATGTATACATATAGTTTAAACATGAAAGTGGGTCGGAAAAGCGGGGCAGCGGCGTCACAAGACGGAACCATTGACCCCATGAATGGAAAAAGCTTCGGGGAGGTCTGAACTCTGAACTAGCGGCAGGGAACAAAGCGGATCTGTGGTGAAAGCAGTGGACCAGGAATTCCAAGGCACCGAAAAAAAAAATGTATCTCATTGCTGTGACCACGAAATTTGATATTTTTTACAATTAGTATAAAAAAGACACTAATAAAAAATCAATAATGTTTGTTTTTAAGAATAATATTTGAAGTTATGGTAAAAATGTATGCCATTTTTATGTTGTGGTTTGCCAGTTTTAGAAGCCCAAAATACAACATAAACTAAAAACAAATTAACTTAAAAATAAAGGATCTTACTAACTGAAAGCAAGCGTTTTTTCCAGTGCTTCTCCCTCCTTTCTCAAACTCTAAAATCCCTAAAAAAGGAAGTTGGGGGTTTGGTGCTCAGAACGTGTATTTGAAAAGTGACCGAGATAATTTTTGGCATGCTTTGTTTGGTTTTACTTTCGCCAGCGGTTCGCCCACCTCCCAGCCCATGCAACTTTGATGAGCAGCAGCTGGGTTGCGGTTGAGCCCCTGGGCTAGGGTGTGGTAACCTCCATCCTTCGGAAAAACCCTAACTACCCTGCAGCCTCCATTCGCTCGAATAAAAAGATCCCCGCCAATGAACCTCCCTGCTCGGTGGGTTGTTTAACAAGTAAATTTATGCGTTGCGCGTGGGGGGATTGGTTGGTGGATGGAAAGTGGGGAAGGACAAAGTCACCCAAACTCCCTTTATCTTTCTGTATCTCTGTGGCTCCTCGTAAAAAGCAAATGCAAAGAAATTATTACGATGCCGTATTCTGCTTTTTTGGTGCTTTCTGGGGAACCCTCATCCCTGTTCGTTGCCTTGACTACCTGGGCACGCACCCTCGTGAGGAAAAGGGTTGCAGGCTGTAATTATGTTAATTTTCCGTATACGTAACATTCTCCAAATATTTGCAAATAAATTCCAAAGGCGAAGGCCTCCGAAAGTCCA